AGCACAGGTGTGAGAAAACTTATCTGTCTCCTTATCTGCAAATTACAAGGGTCAGAGATTTTGAAGGTTTGAAAAAGTCATAGCAGGAAGGAGCAGATGGCAAATGATGCAGTCTGGGAACAGTCTGCTAAATTCAGCCATGGGTGACAGCCAGTGCAGGTGAGTGACCTGTTGTCAGGAGGGAACAGCAGCGTGCAGGGCTGTCAAATACCAATTTACTCAGAAATGCTGGAGCTGGGCTGTTTCCACCAACCATTGGGCTACAGTTTCTGAGAGATATGTGTGGGCAATTAGAGGACTCCAACAACTGGAATAATATTACTGAAGATGCTTCCCATCAAAGCTCTTTAGGGAATAATGAATAATAAATGAGCACAAGACCTTAGGCATGGCTTTCTTGTTCCTTCAGAACTTACTTTCCATGTGAACGAAGTTCCAGTGAGCAAGGCTGAATCTCCTGATGAATCCCTTGGAGCCACCACTCTATCAACACAGCTACTGTTGAAATGAAGGACCCAAAGTGATTTGTTTTGGAAAGAAAATCCTCAAGCCATGCCTGAAACATCCTTTGCTTTGAGACCTTCCTTTCCCTCAACCCTGTTGGGAATTTCCTGTGTCTGAGGTTTTGGGTTTTATGGAGGTAAGCAAGGTGTTACTCTGACTTCACTGCTAAATGTACAGATGGAACTGACTTAATGCGGGAGCAGAGAGGGGACTGCTGGATTATTTCTGCTCTCAGCTTTGTCACCTTCAGAGGCTGTCTCCTAAGGCAGAGCAAAACCAGTTTGTACTTTATAGAATGCACGCAGGTTTCAGCATGCCTCTTGTACACAGGGCATCCCAAAAAAACAGTAATTGATTTATCTTGGAAGAGGCTGGGGAAGAATTGTATTTTTCTTAGTTTAGAAGGAGAGTTATTGTTACAGCCCAGAAAGAATGTTGGCAAGATCTTCACAGAAACTCTTCTTTTCCTCTTTCTTACTCTAAAAAAGCAATTGTTAAATTAAACTGTCCCCTTCCAAAAAGGGGACTCTGCTTAAATGACAACAGCATAAGCCAGAGTAAACCATGGGCTATTTCCTGTCCTTTTGGTGATGCTGTCAACAGTCAGGAGGGTGTTTTCTTGCCCAAACCACAGGGTCATGAGCATTTAACAAGAATTTCATGTTTTACTAGAATTGTGGTAAAATATTTTTCAGGCTTGAGATGTTATACTGGTTTTTAATTTTATTTTTGCTTTGTGTCTACTGAGAAAAAAAAATTCTAGCCAAGATCTTACTGCCTGACTGCAGGAGTGGAAACAGTGGCAGAGCAAAATATGCATCTTCTGCAAATGGTTGGTTTGAACACGTGAGAGATGAGAGATCAGGGACCACTGTCCAGGGCTACACCTTCATTACCTTGGTTTTCTTTCCTGTTGGCAATCAGCTCACTGCTGTTTGCTCACTTTAATGGCTTTTCTCTCTCTCTCCTTTTTTAAATGCCTATTGAACAAATCTATATCTGTAGCCACTACAGTGGATGTGAAAAACATGAGGTTGCTTTGTAAAACACAGGTTTTACAAAGTGCCATTTTAGTGTCTTTTGGATAAACTAAATAGCTCTTATTTTATAGGTGAGCATATTAGAGCCTGTAGAATTAATTGTGGCCTATTTATTATCCATAACAACCCTCACAATAAGTTAATTACAGCCCTGAGGTAATGGTGAATTTGTCCACTTCTCAGCAAAACAGCAGAAAATAAGTGATGTGATCAGGAAATCTGTCCTTGGAGGATGGGTAATTCATGCTGTGTACTCAGGAGGAATTCTTTCAAAGGCCTCTGCTCCAGTCTTTCATACCAGAAGACAATCTTCCCTCCATCTCTTTGTGTCATTTCAACTGTTCCAAAATTCTCCAATTACACTTCTCCAAGAATATTACTGCTATCCAAGGCACCAGTTTTTGACTTCCAGGTTTTACGTAATTTTAGGTCAAACCACTAAAACAAAATGAAACACAAAACCCCACTACAATGCTGGTGCAAATATTGATTTGTAGATTCTCCTTTTTAGCACCTTGTATATATATCATCAGACCTGAGCTTCTCATCCCAGCCTCCCTTCATGTCCATATGCTTTTAAAATAACAAATATTATCCTATTACAAAAATAATATTTCAAGGCTCTGTGTATCATATGTTTAGAGCACTTCTTTTTCCCAGCATCTGGAAAGAAAAAACTCCTTAAGAATCCCTGTTTTAATTTTCAGAAAGACATAATACCTCCCCAGCTCTCACTGCAGCATCCTGTGTGGTGCTGTGTTGTAACTCCAATGCAAAGGTTGCTGAGCTTCTCCAGCCTTTAGGAATTGTGCAGGGTTTAAACTCATACACAGTTTGTAATGGGGCTAAGCCCAATGTCCAGAGTTTTGAGTTAAAACTCAAGCCTGCTCATGTATCCTAAGGCACAGCATGCTTTCCAGGCAGAGTTCAACACTGATACTACAATATTATTGATTTATTTTGTTGTTATTCCAAGTGAAACACAGCTATTCTGCCTGGAACCCATTTTCTTATGGCCTTCATGGGCTTCAGAAAGTTTCTGAACTTTTTGAAAGACTTTATCCTTCTTGGCCTATCACTATTATTTTTCTGTGGCTCAGACATGGCTATTTCCCTTTCTTGTGAAAGCACAGTAAGGAGTATTTTTGAGGGCCAAAAAATGCCTTAAAATTTCTCAAGACCTTAAGTCTCCTACTGAAGGTGCAGGAGGACCCAGATGTTTAAGTACAGCCAAGGTAGCAGTGGTGTAAAGAAGAACAGGGTGGGGATTTTGGGGACCCAGCTCCTTTCAAGGTGTGAGTGGTGATAGTTTGACTCATGGTCAAACTACATTTGGTAACAAATCAGAGCATACAAAACACAGGCATGGGTAAGAGAGGACCTTGTGCAGAGTTTGAGGGAATATGTGGTGAGCACTGGAAAAAAATGCCTGATGATGAGCACTGGATTTGCAGTGTGTCCCTGTTTCTCTGTGCTGCTCTGTGACCATGAGCTTGTTCAGAAGCCCCTGATCCCATGGGGAATTTTCAGTATGGGCTCTAAATTGTAGCTGCTAAGACATGCCTGCTTCCTCTTTTCTGTGTCTGTGCATGTTTAGGCTGGTCTGAGAGAGGACTAAAAAGAGATACAAACAAGAGAATGGGAGCTTAGGTTGAATAATTCAAAAATTGTTAAAAGAAATGTTAAGATCCTAAACTTGAATTATTTACCATCACATTGGGTATGGCACTGTAAGATACAGCTGAAGGAAGGATGCAGGCAAATTCTAGTTTCTGATAAGCCTAGAATGCCTCTAATGTGTATTTTAGGATATTTTTAGCTCTGAACACGTGAAATAAGACAAAATTAGTTTATTTCCCCTTCATATGCAAACCTATTAATATATCCAAAGTAAGCCTGCAGAGAAAGGCAAACCCCTGATCTGTGTACAGTGTCTGCACTGAAGCCCTTTTTGTCTTTGGTGTATTTGAGCAAATCTCTCTGCTGGGTTTCCAGTAGGCTGTGCAACATCTACACCATTATTCCAGGCATAACTCACATGGTTGCACCAGTGTCTGATGTTTCAGGGCTTGTCCTCGGTGTGCTGTGATGCTGAGCTCAAAAATGCATTTCCTCCAGTCTCATTGCTGTTTCCAGATCTTGTCTCCTATCAGATGATGCCTTAAGGTCACCTTATCTTCCCCATGAGATGGGGATGGAGTCAGGAATGTAAACTGAGGTTTTAATCAGCAGCACTTCAAGTAAAGGAATGGAAGAGCAGCTGCTGGAGTTGGAATAGCTTGGGAAGCACCAGTTCTCAACCCTTTGCATGGCTTGTGCCTGATTCACTGTGTGACTGCTCATCAGCCCAGCTCCTGAAGCATCCCCAGGAGGGCTCTGAATAGACTCTGTTGGGCTTTTGGGCCCTGAAAACTAAAGCTAGGAAAATGTTGATGCTCCTGTCAGGCTGGAACCTAAGGGCTAAGCATGGTAACAAACAAAAATCCAACAAAACAGGCAGCCTGACTGCCCTCAGCTTCCACGGGCTGCCTTTGGAGCACGGATTGCCAGGCTGAACAGGAGCCAGGGGGGCACTGGGGTTGTTGTGTGGCTTTTGATGGTGCCAGCTCATTTCACCTGAAGCTCTTTTATGGGCCCAGAAGGGCAGGTTGAACCTCTCTTAACAGATAGCATGTGTTTTCTCTAAAGAAAAAACACCACAAAAAAGACAAGTAACCCAAACCCTGTGCACATGCACAATATAATGCAATTATTTTACATAGTTTAATTCTACTTATGAAACAGGGGAGAAGAAAAAGCACTAATGTTTAAGAGCAGTGACAGTAGAAAATAAGGTAGGAGGATGAAATGAGGAAAGGAATGACTAGTTCTCTGGTAATGTCTATAATCTACTCCAAAATTATCTGTACTATTTAAGAGTTTCTACTAAAACAATTCTGTGAAAGGTGGTAGCACTGGGTTGTGGTTAGGACACAAGACAAGAGGACCTTGGGTAAGTTCCTTGTTCAGCCAAAAACTCTTTGGGCACTGCTCAGCATGTTTAAATTCAAGGTTTCCAATCTCCTCTCATGAACAGGGCAAGTGGGAATGTTCTATTTCTCAGATCCAAGACTATGGTGAGGCTGATTTAATTATTTTTGAGATCTCCAGTGGCCCATGGTGAAGTTTACTGGAAAATACCAATTAAAGAGAAGTGAAAACAGCAGATTGTGGGTGGTTTGACAAGTCAGCAAAACTGGACAAAGAAATTATTTTCAGGAGACCTCTGATGCCAACAGGAGCATTACACAGCTTGCCTTCAGTAACACTGTTCTGTTGCAGGAAAATCCAAGTCTCCATACCTAGATTTAATTGAAAAATGAGTTTGCCCTTTGGAAGGAAGGTCTAAGGCTTAAAAATGCATTTGCTGCATCCCAGCCAAGTAGGTTCACTAATAACAAAAAGACCAAAGACAGATTTTTTGCATTAGAGAGAGCACTTTATTATTTCTCTGCTTTGTTTTCTTTGGAGTCCTGCTGAAATGTTTTTGATTGCATACAAGTAGGAGATCAGTTGTAATAAGGCGTGTCTCATGTTTCTTGTGTTGCTGCCAGGTCTGAGATAATTCTTTGTGACTTTTGAACACTGCTTTGATTTTAAAGGGGCACTATCATAGATTCATTTTGATTGAAAACAAAACCTTTTAAATCACTGCATCAATGTAAACAACCCAAAAACTCTGTATTTCCTTTTTAAGGACATCTTACTGAGAGGTACACATATATTTAAAAGTACCCAACACCATTGCTTGTTTTGTTTCTTAAATAGCATGTGAGTTTAATAAAAATAAATGCATGAGCATTTCTAAAAATGATCTTTTACACTGCAATTCTTCATTCCTATGCTACTTTGTATTCAGGTTTACCCTTTCTGTATTAATTTTGCCTACCACTTTTTTTGGGCAATAAAAGGAGACTTGTCCAGGTTTGTTGGTATTCATTCTTTCATGGCACAAGCAGAGTTACTTGGGTTAACAAGTTAGAAGAGAAAGCTGGATTTTAATTGTCTGTTTTCTATCATATTTGAAAAAGTTATAAAAACAATTCCCTCAACATGCGGTGCTGTAAGTTCCCTTTCCCGGTGTTGTTTTTGGACCTGCAGTATTTTGAATATGACATCCTACAAAAAATAATAGTATTTTTAAAACCTCCTACTGGAGTGCATTTGATTTGAGTTATTCGAAGCAAATGTGGAGGAGTAACAGCCCTCTGAAAATGATCAGTGACAGGAAGGCAGTGTTGTTTGCTTCCCTCCCTGGGGCACATTCTGTCCTGTGTGCACGTGTGGGACTTTCTGGGACTCCTTGGAGAACTGTGGGCATCTGCCAGCAGAATTTAGCTCCCAGATATCCAGAAATATGTTTGGACATGGTGCAATGGTAGAACCCACTGGTTCTAAATTTCTGATAGGAGCCAGACCTTTAGCCAGGAGTGTTGAAATGAAGAGGGCTGGTGACCTCCCCTGTGAGGTCCCTACTCCAAGGATGTTGCATCTCCTTCTGGACAAGAGCAGCTGTTCAGCAGTGAGGGCACAGGATGGGCTCTGTTGGAGTAGCAGGGCTTGTAAATACACAAAATATCCATTGCCATAAAGGTAGCTCACTTCCCCTGATTTCAGAGAATGCCAGCTCACATCTGCTGATAACCCAGTATTTATATAAGAATTTCTTGCTGGTTTAATGGACAGTCTAACCCCTGGGTTTGCGGGGTTTTTTTTGAGAAAAATCTGACTTACTAAATGTAGCAGGTGGGGTTTTTTAAGTGCTTCTTTACCATCTTGAGCATCATATAATGAAAACCTGAGCCTTCAGGTCCTCAGGAATTTTTTTCCCCTCCTATTACCTATTCCCACTTGTGCAGGCACAGTCCCAAAGTTATCACATTGCATGTAATTGCTGTAGGGAGGATGATCATTTCAAGTAAGAGAATATGAAGCAGGATCAGATTAATTCCTCAATCAGCACAGAGCCCACCCTCTTGTGTGTGTCTGTTACTTCAAATATAAAGGCAAGACTCCACTCCCCTTATTATATATAGATTATCAACAGAATTGTTTTGAAATTGCAATTTTCTTAAAATAATCACTGAAACACCCACAAATAATTTCTCCACCAACTAGCAAAGAATGATGAGATTAAGTTCAGCTCAAAGTGTCTGAAACACAGTGCCTTAAACCTAGTGGTTTCTAGTTAAAATCCTTTCTGGACACGGTTGTAAAATGCAACAGCCATGTGAGGGAGGATGAGAGGAGCAAGGGATGGTAAGATCTATGTAAAATCAGTTTTGCTGCTGTTGCTGATGAAATCTCAGAGGAAAGAGGCTTAAGAACCAGTGGGCCCATGAAAACAAGCAGTACAAAAATAGTAATTTAAACTTCATTGGTGCTTTTATAATTCATGTAGTGAAACAGCTTCTTGTGCATACTCATAGAGTCTGGAGATTCTTATTCAGCTGTGTGAAGAAACAAAAGAGTGAAAATCTACTAAATTCTGAGCAGTGCACTTGATGCTTACCCACTGTAGAAAACTTTTGGTATAAAACAGTCTGAAAAGAATTTTCTGCCCACCAGCATTTCAAAGTCCTCTGTTTAGAACAAAGGCAGTCATCTGGAGCTTTGACTCGTGGTAAACCTGGATGAAACTTCACCTCAGACATGCTGGAGAATCCATCTTTGATTATTCTTGTATTGACATTCGTATTGATGTTGATATACTGGAATTGATGTTGTCAGTGACAACGAGGTGATAAGGATTAAAAACTCAAAAAAACTACTCTCTGGCCACTCATGTCTTTATAGAAAATCAGCTCCTTTTTTTCTGAGGTACTTTGTGGGTCATGATGGTGACACCAGCCCTGTGAAGATGGTTGCAGTGGCTGCTGTATGAGCTTGTTTTCCCTGGTGTAATGCTCTGATTCAATCTCTCAGTGAGTTGTAGGCTTTTGTGGTCCGGCTGTTGATGAAATCTGCCTTCTTGAAGTCAGCCTTTGGAATGGAAGAAACAGAACAGTTCATTATCTTCAGTGCTGATTCTGCCAGGGAAGGGTGGGTCCAGTGCCTAAAAGCTGGATAAGGAGCCATGGCAGGGGTCTAGGCAGGGTCCTGAGCAGTCACAGAGACAGAACAGGCAGCGCTCCTTTAGTCCAGGACAGAGGACAGGATAATTGGAATTGCTGAACTCCCTCCACTGTCTGTTCTTCCTCCTCAGCTCTACAGACTCCTAACTTTTAGGTGACTGACTAATAGCTGAGATTAACCTAGCTGAGATTAACCTAGTTGAAATTAACCCTGCCAGAACAAAAAACACAAGACAGTGCCAAAATAACTCAGGATTTTATCAATTTTATTTGATCAAGTGATTTCTGTGGCTTATTAGACTAAAGTTTCAAAACTGTCTGGCCATTAGGTGGTTCTGAAGTTTTCAGTGCCATACCTGGTGTCTCTAGGGGGTCTGATTTGCATAGGAAGAGCAAATAATCAGCATTTTTGAAAATGTTGACAAATGTGTCCTATAGACTTTCCTAAACTACCAGTAAACTCATAAAATTCATGCCATCAGGGATATTGCTGATGGTATGGTAAATTTATTGTATGGTAAATTCAGGAATACAGTTGTAAAAAGCCAGAGACAACTAGTTAAGAATTTATATGGCACAATAGCCTTATTCTGGAACATAGATTTCTGATTGTGGGGCTGTACCTGTTAAGTGTGATGCAACAATGTTAAAGTTTCTGCTCAGAAGGCTTTTTGGAGGAAATTTCAACCAAAAAAACTCAAAGAGAAACAGCTGAATAACAAATGCTAACAGCTTGCTTGAGAACTTGGAGCAGTTTTAGGTTATAGGGAATTTGAAGTGACAAATTCTGAACAGCAAACACACAAGGATTGAAATCAGTTTGAGATGCAGGGTGAAGGTAGGTAGGTGGACGTTAACTCAGCTGAGGGTTGAAAAAGCAGGCACAGAGCTTTAAAACAGCCAAACTGGTTTGTGGCAGACTCATGCTGGCCATTTTTTGTTTGATCTGACCATGGCAGTAAACGTTTGCCAACACCTTTCCCAGGGCCTGGGTTTTGTGTGGCTGTACCTGACTGCTGGGCTGGCAGGCTGTGCAAACAAGGAGAACAGAACAGCCCTGCTTTTAGAGCAGGAAGCTGCCTTGCCCTGCCCTTGGTTTTGCTGCCACCCTGGCTCCTCTGTGCCAGGCTGGTTCAGCCAGTGAGGATGGGCACCTCCTCTGCATCACCTCCCACCAGCTGACACTTCTGGCAGGCAGCAGCAGCGCTTTTCATAAGCTTTGCAGTGGATATAAAACCACAGAGGGAGAGAACATGAGCACAGAGGAGCAAAAACAGAGGCCATGCATTGCTTACACAGGCTTATATACAAGTAAATAAGAAAACTAAATTCAGGGACCACTTGAATCCTATCATAGGTTGATCCTTAAATGTACAGGAGTGGTAAGGGCCCCAGAGGACAAATGAAAGGGTTCTAGGTCTGAAGGAAGGATGGTTTTTCTTTGTGCTTACCTTTTTGTAGGCGCTGTGGAGATCGGTGTGTAACCATAGGGAGTAGAGGAGGACTGAAGCAGCCCTGCTGGCTTTGCTGAACATATTGCTGCCATTTTGCAAAAAGAATGATAAAACATATTTAAATTCCCACATCATAATCATGGTGCATGTACAGCAAACATAATCTCATACCATTTGTTTTATCTCTTTTTACTCCTAAGTGCTGGTTTGCCACCCTTTAGGTATTGTAGCATGCTTCAGGCTGTCCTTATTACTGAAACACATGAAACACGCCTCCCTGCTCCACCTATTCTTCAAATTTAGGGAGAAATCAAGTGCTCTGCAGCCTACATCTTACAGCAGCCATCATATTGTGCATTTTCAGCTGAGGAAAATAACCTCAGCACAACAAGCATTTGAAAGAATCTTTCCAGTAGGTAAAATCCCTTGTCAGTTAGACGGGATTTAAATTATTCAGGTCCTCATGAGGGCTCCTTTACTGAGATTGATTTCCTCTTTCATTTTGCAAAGAGAGAGCAAGGCAAATGGAATAATTACTCATATTTTTAAAACATTCATTATCTTTGGAGTAAATATTGATTGCATTTATTTACATATTAAAGAACTATTAAATTTTGAATCCGTTCTCTAAAATGCCAATATGTTATTTTTAAGTGCAGATCTATAGGTTCCATAAAATGTATCCCTGCACTTTATTGCTAAAATTAATCAGGGCTGTGTTACAATGAACAGGAAAGACATTTTGGGTACAGATGAGATCTGATGATCAGTCACTACATATATATCAGAATACAGATAATGTGGTGCAGTTATCTTCTGAGGAGTTATTTAAAATTCTGGAACCTGGTGAGTTTAGCTATGGATGGGAGAGCTGTCCTAAGAGATCTTTCTGTATGTCCCAATCAGTGCAATTCTATTCACACCCCTTGTTTGGGCTGTCCTGCACCTTGAGATGAAACGTTTTTCCCCCCTGAGTGGCAGAGGCTGCAGCTTCTCTTTTACCTGAGGACACAGTGAGGTTTGTGGAGCCCCTTACTATCGGATTTGCAAGGTGCCCCTGAGCAGAAAGAATGATGAAGAGGACTCCATGATATCAGAAGGCTAATTAATTACTTTATTATACTATATTATTCTATACTATATTACACTACATCTAAACTAAAACTGTACAAGCACTCAACTGAATAAAATCTTGTGACTGTCTCTTGACCAACAGTCTGCACATGTGCTTGGCCCTGATATGCCAGGGAAACAAAACACCATCACTTTGGGTAAACAATCTCCATATTGCATTCTACCTTAGCACAACACAAGAGCAGCAAATGAAATAAGAATTCTTTTGTTCATTCTTTTCTCTGCTTCTTTCACTGCTTCTCTCAAGTTCAGAGAATGTGAATGCCACAGCTTACCTGTCACTGATGCTGATGGCAATGAGCCGCCACAGCTTACCTGTGATCACAGTCACTGATGCTGATGGCAATGAGCTTGAGGCTTGTGGAGCCCTTACCTGTCATTGATGCTGATGGCAATGAGCTTGGGCAGGCCGTGGGTGCTGAGGAGCAGCCGGGCGTTGTGCGAGCTGCCCTGGGTCAGGTTGAACAGGGTGTAGCAGATGGATGCTGTGGTTTCACAGGCCACCTCAGAGCCTGGCATGCTCTCGGGCAGCACTGACACGAGGTCAGGCAGGACTTCTCTGGCTGCAAGGTGGGACAGAGACAACCAGTTCCATTACTTACAGGAGCAGATTTACCTTATTCCTCCCATTCTCCCTCAGCAGGGAGCTGTGTGCTCCTACCACGCACTCGTGGCTTCCTACCTGCATCACATCCCCACAATTCAGGTGAAGCTGCACCCACACTACACTGGACAGCCTGGACCTTGCCTCATGCACAGTCCATTAATAGCTCATGTGCTGGACTGAACTCACCAGGCATGTGCCAGCTGCAGGCTGCCGCTTCCCTGCTAGACATGTTTTATATTAAATTTATCTCCATTTGATATAGAGGTTCGTTTTGCTTGATAAATTTGCATAAATATAGGTTCATTTTGTTTGATAAATTTAGACCCTTATAATGTAGAAAAGAGTGTGCCCTCTCAAATGTTTTCCTTTAGCCAAAGTTGTTCTTTTTGGAATTTGGGTAAAACAAGAGCAATTGTGAATGTACAAGATGAAGCAGCTGCCCCCAAAGCTTTGTGCTGTTCTGTCTTTCCCATACTCTCATAATTTTTTTTTTTTTCCTGATGATATCCCAACTTCTTATCAGTTTAATTTCTTCTCTTTCAGGGGGATCCACCAGCTGTAATTGTCAATACCATATGGATTATCCCTTTGAAATCAGCCCAACAACATGTTACAAGATTTTCATTAATAGGGAATGTTCTCTAAGGTTCAACAAGGCCCAGGAGAATGTTCTTCAGAATTCTGCAAGGTAATCTGTCCCATGAGCTATGTTTATACCTGGAATTTCCCCTTTACCTCTTAGTGGGAACACAAAAAACGACAAGAAATTATATGAACACATACTATCCTGTCAGTAGGAAAAAGTCTTAAATATACAATAAATTGAAATGACAATACTGAGAATAGAAATGGCTTTATTAAGAAATGAGATAATTTGAAAGAATTAACTATTTTTCTACAGCATCTTTTAGCTTCCATTATTAAAAAAAATGCAGGAAAACTGTGTGGGCTGTAAACTTCTAAAGTTTTGTGTCTAATATGAGAGAGAGTGATCTTTGCTAGAAGAATTAGAGATGTTCTGTGATTTCTTGCAAAGCATTATGCAGCTGTGGCAGCACAGAACTTGGCAATCACCTTCCTTTACCCTATTTTGAGCAGAAGAAAATCTCCCTCTCCAGATCTGTGTAGAATTTATTCAATTATGTATTTTTGAAAGTAACACCAAAGTATCTGAAGAGAAATACCCAACAGAGTGAAAGTTTGTTTAGGAAAACTCTTTATTTTAAGCCCTGTACAGTGACTACAAGTATCTGGTGAAAAATCTACTAAACTCACAGATCGGGGCTTTTTTGAGCATTTCTTTCTTTCAGCACAGGAAAGTTTGATGTGAAGAGCGCAGGGCAAGCTCTCAGTGTTTGCTCACCTATGTCGTTTTGGAGGGAGGCGTTTCGGGACAGGTTCCTGAGCAGGGACACGGCTGTCCTCCTCACGGCGGGGTGGCTGACGTGCAGCATGGCGCGGACGCTCGGGAGCCCGTTTGCCTTCTGAACGACAGCCCGGGCCACTGCGAATGGCATCTGTGCAGAGAGAGGCACTTCTGTGGCACTGCCACCAGTGCAGAGCCTCAGCCACGCACAGCCGGCTCTCTGCACCAGTTTAAGCATATTTCAAATAGTTTTAGGCCGGAGTTACATATGAGTTGCAACAGGAAAGGGAGGTGATAAAAAAGAAGTTGCAAGCCCTCTTTCTGCCAGGTGCTCCTTGGCTAGTTCCTCAGACAGATATCATCAACTTCTTCAACACAAAAGTGATCTGCTGTTGTGTCAGAGCCCTCCTCTCTCCACAGGACTGTCTTCCACAAAATGATTTTTTTTAGTGCTTTTAACATCTGCTCATCCCTCAGAGTGTGATGAATTAGCAAACTCCACCCATGGAGCTGTACACAGAAGGAACAGAAGCAGATCCCACTATCTGCCAAGCAAGGAAAAGCTGCCCTGCTGGTTATGACTTTCCATTCAGTGTTCCTCATTTTCCTTCACCATGTCAGTGAGCCAGTGACCTGTCAGTGCTTATTTGAGCTCAGGCAGCTCTGAACTCTACATATTCACATCAAGAATTCACTAAGTGAAAAGAAAAGGAAAAAATCTGACTTACTGGTCCGGTGCCAGCTGTGAGGTTCTGGAGAGCTCCCAGGGATGCTTCCTGGGTGTAGTTTCTGGTACTCTTTGCTATTAAGGAGAGGTATATCCTAATCAGTGTAGAATGCCAGAGCGATTCAACACCTTTGGGATTGCTCTTTTCCTCAGGAAGCGGGGTGTCCTGCTGCTTCTAAACAGGTCAACAGATCAAGCCTTTAGAAACAGTCATTCTGTAGCTTAATGCACCACAAGCTGAACTAGCCATTTTGTAATTCTGCATGACCAGGTTATTTGGAGTCTGTCAAGTTCTGAGTTCAAATAATGATGTGTAAAATGTCAGTATTCAATGATAGTAGCTAGTCCATCCAGTGGAGTATTCCTTAACTAATAAAACATTTGCTATGTCATTGCCATCAGCAGCAGCTAAACAACAGAATTGGTGTCAAGAAGGAATATCAATAAATGTGCATTTTTGGGGCAAAAATGTGTCACCCTACCAGATAGATCAATAACAGACTTAATTAGAATACAGCCTTATTCTTCAGAGTTTGCTACAAGTTATTAACCAAATGAGATGTAACTAATCATGTACTTTACCTCTTTTACTTTTCTGCTCCGTGTTCCAAAACAGCCTGGTGTTTTGTCATTGTTAGAAATATTTCTTCTTTGTACGTATATACTCTGGGCATAGCTCTCAGGGAGCTCTATCTCTAGCTGGTAGGAAAGATTGTGAAGAATGCACACACAGTTCTCTGTGGCCTAAAATAACAAAATAATAGAAATTGAAAGCTTTGGCATGTGTCAGATCAATAACAGACTCTTAATTAGATTACAGCCTTATTCTTCAGAGTTTGCTGCAATTATTAACCAAATGAGATGTAACTAATCATGTACGTTACCTCTTTTACTTTTCTGCTCCGTGTTCCAAAACAGCCTGGTGTTTTGTCATTGTTAGAAATATTTCTTCTTTGTACGTATATACTCTGGGCATAGCTCTCAGGGAGCTCTATCTCTAGCTGGTAGGAAAGATTGTGAAGAATGCACACACAGTTCTCTGTGGCCTAGAATAACAAAAGAATAGAAATTGAAAGCTTTGGCATGTGTTGAAGGGACATGTACAGACACGGGAAGAGATTTAATTTTTGGATCTTCAGTAACTGACTGCAGAGTTTCTAATGACTCATGGAAGAGCCAGGCTTCATGCCAGTGATCCACCAGACTGCCTTTACAATGAGAAATGAAACATGCCCTGGGATGTTCCCGAGCCCAGCGGGCAGCTGGCACACGGGGCTGCATTGGGAGAGGGGTCCGTGCCTGTTGGAAGTGGTTCTGGGACTTCAGAATTCTTGAACTGTGCCTGGGAATTGTTTGGGCGAGTGCTGCTTGACACAGAAATGTGCCAAGAAATGCTTAAGAGCTTAGGAGTAAAGATGATCATATAGACACCTCACCATAGCATCAGCAAGAGGAAAGCCTTTTATCTCCCCCAAGGAGGAAGCATTTTTCTGTGGTGGAATGCTTTTTAAAAGAAGACATTCCTTCTTGAACGTGGCTAAGGTCAGGTCTACAATTTCTGAGTCATGAGTCTAGTGGCAAAGAGCTTTGTTACCATCTGCTCCTCTTTTGAAAATCAAAGGGATGAGTGGTTTTAAGACCAAATGCAGCAGGGAGCTACTGGCACACGTGTGATGTGCTGGATTCTCCCTGAAGCTAATGGCACTGGTACAGGGAGATGGGGAAGCTCAAGCAGCTAATCCTGGAACAGAGCTATAAATGTGCAGTAATTACCACTGCACAGCACAGGTTATGGCAGGCCCACCAGAAGTGCCTTACAGGCTGCAGCTAATGTCAGTGACAGCTGCTCTTCTCACCCCACTTCACCCAGCTGAAAGACAAGCCTCTGCTCCAAGAATCTGTTTTCAGGGTTCACCTGCACTCAGTGGGGGGAGGAAGAGAGAGAAACTGGCACCTGGAGGTGTCCATGTCCTTGTAGTTACTGGCTTAGGCAGCAAGGAAAAAAAGTGCAGTTTTTTTTTCAAAAAAAACCCTAGGAAAATTAGTTCTATTCTAAATGATGCAAGCTCCTTAACCACACTGCCACCCAAAGGGATTTAGGTTCTTCATTTCCTAAGGGGTATGTAGCATTAAATACATAGGAGAGTAGCATTGAATATACAGGAGAGTAACCTGATTAATTTTTTAAGCTTCTAGCACCCTGAGACAACCAAAAAGGCAACATCTGACTCTTTCATGTTCCAGCATTTCTGAAAACTCTGATTTTATCTCACTTAAAAAAAAAAAACAACCAAAAAACAAAAAACAAAACAAAACAAAAAAACCCCCAAAAAATAAAAAAACCACAAAAGGTTCTGCCTTTTTCTCTAGAAATTCTGAAAATGTTTTCCCAGTGCTGAATTATACTATTCTTTTAGGTTGCAGGATAAAAATATTTCAAAAAGCTTCTTACAGGACTTTCACCTTTGGTGGCAGTTTTAAAAGCCCTGGAAATAAGTTTTGCAATTGCATCACAGCTGTTTCTGGACATTGGTTTCTAAACAAGAACAGAAAAATATTCACTTGACAATTTCCCCTAGGAAAACACTTTTCATCTCAAATAGTACCTTGTCATTGGGTTCATGGTCTGCAATAGCTCCTTGGATATAATACACAAGAGAATCAATCAAGCCCTCACATTCTCTCATCTTCTTCCTTCCTTCTGGGCCAGCAGAGCTCATGTTTCTGTGCAGGAGAGAATATGTTGGGGAGAAGAGATTTAGCCAAAGGTATTTTCTTGTGCTCCTCTGACAAACTTTTCCAGCCAAAACTTAAAGATACTGAAGTTCAGATTGACTGCTTCTTTTCTTCAGAGGTGTAAGACAATCCGAGCCTCTTCTAGATAAAACTTTCACTCCCAGAGAAAAGTGGTTTGTTTACTCCAGGGAAACAAACCATTGTGTTTGGATGGGTAAGGTGAGATCTGACTCAAATTTTCATCTCAAAGTTGAGTCAATCCTTTTTAAGCAGTAAAAAAAACAAAAAACAAACCCAAAAAAAACCAAACCTAAAACCAAACCTTGGACTTGTTTTCCATATTCCATTTTCAGCTATAATTTTAATATTTAGGATGGTGAAAATATCAGAGGAGAGATGCCTGTAAAAATCTCCATGCACACAGATGTCCTTTAGAATGAATTTACTTACACCAGGCTGGTTCTTGATCCAAGATGACCATCAACAGACACACGGTCTGAGAGTTTCAGCACATCTCCATTTTCACATGCAAAGACCCACCCTTTGCCTGCCTTTCAAGTAACATTTGCTGGGCTTTGGGAAAGCCTTTTATCTCCCCCAAGGAGGAAGCATTTTTCTGTGGTGGAATGCTTTTTAAAAGAAGACATTCCTTCTTGAACGTGGCTAAGGTCAGGTCTACAATTTCTGAGTCATGAGTCTAGTGGCAAAGAGCTTTGTTACCATCTGCTCCTCTTTTGAAAATCAAAGGGATGAGTGGTTTTAAGACCAAATGCAGCAGGGAGCTACTGGCACACGTGTGATGTGCTGGATTCTCCCTGAAGCTAATGGCACTGGTACAGGGAGATGGGGAAGCTCAAGCAGCTAATCCTGGAACAGAGCTATAAATGTGCAGTAATTACCACTGCACAGCACAGGTTATGGCAGGCCCACCAGAAGTGCCTTACAGGCTGCAGCTAATGTCAGTGACAGCTGCTCTTCTCACCCCACTTCACCCAGCTGAAAGACAAGCCTCTGCTCCAAGAATCTGTTTTCAGGGTTCATCTGCACTCAGTGGGGGGAGGAAGAGAGAGAAACTGGCACCTGGAGGTGTCCATGTCCTTGTAGTTACTGGCTTAGGCAGCAAGGAAAAAAAGTGCATTTTTTTTTTCCAAAAAAACTAGGAAAAATAGTTCTATTCTAAATGATGCAAGCTCCTTAACCACACTGCCACCCAAAGGGATTTAGGTTCTTCATTTCCTAAGGGGTATGTAGCATTAAATACATAGGAGAGTAGCATTGAATATACAGGAGAGTAACCTGATTAATTTTTTAAGCTTCTAGCTAGCTAGCACCCTGAGACAACCAAAAAGGCAACATCTGACTCTTTCATGTTCCAGCATTTCTGAAAACTCTGATTTTATCTCACTTAAAAAAAAAAAACAACCAAAAAACAAAAAACAAAACAAAACAAAAAAACCCCCAAAAAATAAAAAAACCACAAAAGGTTCTGCCTTTTTCTCTAGAAATTCTGAAAATGTTTTCCCAGTGCTGAATTATACTATTCTTTTAGGTTGCAGGATAAAAATATTTCAAAAAGCTTCTTACAGGACTTTCACCTTTGGTGGCAGTTTTAAAAGCCCTGGAAATAAGTTTTGCAATTGCATCACAGCTGTTTCTGGACATTGGTTTCTAAACAACAACAGAAAAATGTTCACTTGACAATTTCCCCTAAGAAAACACTTTTCATCTCAAAGAGTACCTTGTCATTGGGCTCATGGTCTGCAATAGCTCCTTGGATATAATACACAAGAGAATCAATCAAACCCTCACATTCTCTCAAACAACCAAAAAACAAAAAACAAAACAAAACAAAAAAACCCCCAAAAAATAAAAAAACCACAAAAGGTTCTGCCTTTTTCTCTAGAAATTCTGAAAATGTTTTCCCAGTGCTGAATTATACTATTCTTTTAGGTTGCAGGATAAAAATATTTCAAAAAGCTTCTTACAGGACTTTCACCTTTGGTGGCAGTTTTAAAAGCCCTGGAAATAAGTTTTGCAATTGCATCACAGCTGTTTCTGGACATTGGTTTCTAAACAAGAACAGAAAAATATTCACTTGACAATTTCCCCTAGGAAAACACTTTTCATCTCAAATAGTACCTTGTCATTGGGTTCATGGTCTGCAATAGCTCCTTGGATATAATACACAAGAGAATCAATCAAACCCTCACATTCTCTCATCTTCTTCCTTCCTTCTGGGCCAGCAGAGCTCATGTTTCTGTGCAGGAGAGAGATGTTGAGGAGAAGAGATTTAGCCAAAGGTATTTTCTTGTGCTCCTCTGACAAACTTTTCCAGCCAAAACTTAAAGATACTGAAGTTCAGATTGACTGCTTCTTTTCTTCAGAGGTGTAAGACAATCTGAGCCTCTTCTAGATAAAACTTTCACTCCCAGAGAAAAGTGGTTTGTTTACTCCAGGGAAACAAACCATTGTGTTTGGATGGGTAAGGTGAGATCTGACTCAAATTTTCATCTCAAAGTTGAGTCAATCCTTTTTAAGCAGTAAAAAAAACAAAAAACAAACCCAAAAAAAACCAAACCTAAAACCAAACCTTGGACTTGTTTTCCATATTCCATTTTCAGCTATAATTTTAATATTTAGGATGGTGAAAATATCAGAGGAGAGATGCCTGTAAAAATCTCCATGCACACAGATGTCCTTTAGAATGAATTTACTTACACCAGGCTGGTTCTTGATCCAAGATGACCATCAACAGACACACGGTCTGAGAGTTTCAGCACATCTCCATTTTCACATGCAAAGACCCACCCTTTGCCTGCCTTTCAAGTAACATTTGCTGGGCTTTGTAGTAAACCAAGTACAACTTACAAATGAATTACAAAAGTGATTTAAAAACTCTTGAAAAACCAAACACACACCCGATGCTTGAAGCTGCTTGGCTCTAAACAAGCTACTGATTTTCGTGGAAGAAACAGCACTTACACTTTTGGGGTACAATTATCTTTACAACTCAGCAAAGTCTGAATTATGGAATACCAGAATTATAAATCCAGTGATTTCTGTGTAAGAAACAGCGCTTACACTTACACTTTTGTGGTATAATTGTCTTTACAACTCAGCAAAGTCTGAATTATGGAATACCAGAATTATAAATCCAGGTCTCTTTTTTATTTTAGTCCTGCAGCTCTGCTGGACAAAGGACTGCACATTCAAGATTCTTTGTTTGAAATAACATTAAATATTAGCCAATGCCAATCTTAGCATCCATCAAAACACAGAGGGACATGTTCCTTTAGATCGTTTCAGGTTGCTTATTTTCCATGCTTACTTTGCCCACTAAAAATTACAATGTTTACAATTTTATTAATGACAAAGCCAGTAAGGTTTAAGCTTTCCTGTGACTTATGATTGTAAAATGAATGTAGCACTTTATACACTGTCATTTTTCTTCTACTAATTTTTTTTTTTCCTCTGGGAAGTACATGTTCAGGTTACATACTAAGCATTGTAATTACAATTTTTACTTTAGGTCATGATGTTAATGATGTTTCTATTTATGAGTTCATTTATTCTCTCATGGAATTATATATCACAGAATCAATATTCAGATCCCACAACATGACCTGCTATAGAAATCCCTTTGGAATTTAATTTTACCTATATGTGTCACATTCAAGGCATGTCACCTATGTTTATGCTGACAGAAGTGTACACATTACAGCCCTCCTGATGCATAGCAAAAATAGTTTCTGGGGCACACACACTAAAAATACTGTTAAAGATAAGTGTGGAATTTCCCTTGCCAAAGACACTTCAGCTGATGCAGTGTTTGGTTTTGTCCCACATATTCTAAAATCCCTTAAACTTTTTACAACTGGTCCTGTTGAATGCTTGTGCAGGGAGAGGCCATGCCCTGGCTTTGCTGTCAGCACCAACAGGGTAAAGAACTTTTCGCTGACAGGAGGCAAAGAACCTGAATTAGGGGCACTGTCCTGTTCTGCAAGGGAAATTAATTCCTGGGCTGTTTCATTAAGAAGTTCATTCATCCAGAGACAGGTATCAGTGTGTGTCCCTGGGCACACCTGTACACATGTGGCTACTCCTTTCTCCCCTTTCCCTGTTTCCTTGGTATGACATCGTGGACTGGGAAGGGAAGAGTTCCTGCTCCCCCACTCCTTCAAACACTGCTGTAACCACCTCACTCAAAACAGGGTCAGACAAGAGCTGACAGCTTAAATCTGTTTGCTGATTGAAGCTTCAGAAATTCCAGGAGGTAAAAATTCGACTTGTAAAAAAAAAAGTTAAATATATATTTTTTGAAACAATGGAGACATTTTTCTTAGTGAATTGAAAAACTGACTTCATCTTGTCTTCCCAAGATTTGAGGTTCCTGACAACTGAAATGCCACCCTCTGAGCTCGGGAGCTGGGCTTTATGGTAGTGGGTTCCAGGAGGCCCTGAAGTACTCAGTGCTTGCAAAGTGAGGAGAGCACAGCCCTAGGGACATTGCCACATGCTCTCCTCTAAATGACTCAGAACTTACCAGCAGCACCCACTCATGAAAAATCCCTGGCTTTGGGCATGCTTGGCTGTGGCAATCCTGGTGGCACGCTCAAATGGTGCCGTTTGCTGATCTGTCTGCACACCTAATTTATCTCATCCTGCATTTGCTGCTCCTGTCTCCTCCTGCACACATGCATGGTACAACTGTGTCTGTAATCAAAATAGCTCTTTGCCCACAGTCCTGGGGTAAGGATCAGCTAATTGCCTGTTGGGAAATGTTATTTTGATCCAGAGTTGTGAGTAAATACAAAGACATTCGAGCAGTTAAACCAAGGGTGACTTTGAAGGAAACAGAATGATGATAATAAATGTTCAATTAGCTGATAAATGGCAGCAAATGAAAGGGATACTCCCTCTAAGCCAACACTGAGTCATACACTGACTGTTGGAAACAGTTCTTGAACTGCTGTGAATGGTCCACGTAACTGATAAGAAGGAGGATTTTGCTCCTGGGATTCATTCTGCTAAAACTGGTAATGTGAATTTAATTAAATTACCAGACAACATTTTGGGAAATTCTATTCCCTTCATGCCTTGCGCAGTTCAAAAACTCACCAAGGAGGTAAAGGTATCTGGGATCTACTTGGTAACTAGATGTGCCAGGCTTCAAGCTGCTTGTTGGAAGCAAAAAATTCCCTTCAGGAACTGGAGGAGCAGATAAACAGAAGAAGAGGCAAGAGGAGATAAGAATGGATGGAAATAAACTTAAAGGAATGGCAATGCTATGCAAGAGGCCTTGGTTCAAAGACTTATTATCATCGGTCACTTGTTTTACGTTCTCTCTTAGAAGCTGCCACTGTGAGTCCAAGCTATTCCACACATGGGGAGAGCTTTGGCTTCACTTCTCTCCAGAGTAAATGGAAACAGATGTTTCTGCAGCCTCCTGGGTTGCAATGACACAATTTCCTCCAAACACAGCTTTCCACTGTCCTTGTGGGTCACTGTGTAATTCACAAGGAGCTCTCACAGGAGCTGGGACAGACAAACTGTGAAAAATAATAATGAAAAAGGAAGGATGACTTTAATTTTACTGGGTGAGAAGAGAGAGGTTAGCTGACTATTCTGGAAATAGTTGTCTAGAAAGTTTTGAAAAACTAGAATACACAGGGGCACAGGATGCTTCAGTTACAGAGCAGCTAAACAGGAAGGCTCTGTAGTGAAGTACAGCAGCTTCAGCACTTAAATTAAATGTTTTGCAGGGGAAAATGTGATAACTGTGTATAAATTTGGGAAAGTTCAGCATTGCAGAAGTTCTGGGAAAAGATATTTCAAGATAAAAATGGAAGCAGTTCATTATCGTCTTTCAAGGTGTGATCCAACAGCTTTCCACTAAGCCTTCCTTTCAGAGGAAAAGTCATGCCAGAGGTTCACTTCCATATACGGATAATATTCAAAATATACAATATTCATTCTACATGCTGCTGGGATTTTATCCTTTCAGACTCAGAGGAGTGTGGGGAAATATCTTGAAGATTTTTATCCTTTGTATTGGAACTAGAGGCAGAACTTTTATGTGTAAGACTTCCAGGCCAAGAAAAAGTGACTTTACCTTTAAAATCCTACAGGACTTGTCTACAAAAGTCTGTAACACTCCTCTAGATAGTTTAATACACCAGTTTTACTTGTTCAGCTTATTGTCAGGCATCCAGTGAAGTCTGTTGATTTGGCTTACTCCATGGGTCCAAGCAGAGTTCATTTTATCATATTTCACAACCAAACAACACTATTACTTATTTTAACTGCCAATTCAGAATTCCGTGGTTTAGACAGCTTCTTTTTACTAGTGACCTGTGGTTTCTGTAAAGCTCTGCTTCTCACAGGGTCTTAAGACAAAATGCAGACCTAGAGAATGGGATTAACAAATCCTTCTAACGTCAGACTTCCTTATCAATGACTGCATGCACCGACACAGGCGCCGAGATTCAGGACCCCACAGTACTTCTGGCAACAGCTGGGGACTGGTCTGGTCATGCTCTCATTCCAGGGCTTGGAATACCTGCAATATTATCTGCTAGACGTGGATCCACTTCTCCTGCTGCTGTTTTCTCAAAAAGGATGAAGGAAACTTTAATTTATAATCTGGTAATGGCGTGGTGCAGTGCATATACCCCCACCAGGTGCTAGGGATGGGTTTGGGCTGTGGTTGTCCCTTTCAGTCAACAGTTGTATGGAAATTTTTGGGAAGAAATTCTGGCATTCTCCTGCAACTAAGCACTGTACTATGCATAATGTATTGCACTTCAAAGTACTATTTTTACCCTCTAATAGGAGCTGCAGGCTATAGACTTTATCAACACACCCAACAAACATGTTAGCATCACAAAAGGGAAGACTAATTACAGAGTTATATTCTGGCAAATAAGTAGGCTCTTTAAACAAATTCATAAGTAACATAATTTCCTCAGTGTGCACTTTTATTACTCCATGGTGTGCTCTTCTTTTTATTGATGCAGAGATTTTTTGTTCCCTAATACATTAGGAAGGAATACTTCTAGTGACCTAATCTGGGAGGTGAGTAAATTTCCAGAGAAGAGATGCAAACTGATTAATCTCAAAGATCTCAGCTATTTGGCCTGTACAAATGGGTAAGCCTCATTAAAAACTATTCTGTACTAGAAAGTATGTGGCAATCCTGCAGATCATATTTACCTAGGAGTTTTTAAGCCCATCTTTTTCTATTTCTAATTTTCAGTGTTGAAGCTCCTAAAAATGAGAAGGACTAGAATGTGGATATCATATTTTTAAAATAGGTAATGTATCCTTAAGCACCTACATTAAGGACAGTTTTAGAGACATTGAATTAAGGCCAGAGAGCTCACAGCAGTTCTGGAGCAGCCCCAAGCACAGACTTTGTGTCCAGAGTAAGGTTAACCCAGGAATTCACTTTCATTTAAAAGAACTCAGGCACTGTTACACCTTATTTGTCACATAACAAGTTCTGTCAATCTGCTGAAACAAGCTCGGGAAGAGCAACACCAAGCTAAACCTGAGAATGATCTGTGCCCCCATCAGCTGCCTCATAGGGAAGAGACAATTCCAGAGTCCAAACACCAAGAGAGGAGCGGCCAGACTGGTTTCTGTACAAATGCAGCTTGGGCAAATTAGTATGAAAAAAGACAACCTCCTTCATTTCCTAGACAACAGCACTAAGCGTGAACTAGAGAGGTTTTATTATGGGTGGTTAATGTTTCTTTGTATTTGTTTTTGAGTCATCAGAGTAATTAAAGGTAATAATTACTTAGAGATGAAGTTAATTAGTAGTTAGTGGGCTGACAGGAGTTCCTGCAGAAAAAAGTGTATTGTTAATTTGCATAGCTTACAATTCATTTGTCTTCTGAAACCACAGAGTCAGATACAGAGCTGTTGCACAGGAAAAATCAATGCCAGTGATACAGACACTCTATATCACAATAGATACAGATATTTATGTGATACACATAGATACCTGTACCTATGTGATACAAATAGATATCTGTACCTATGTGATACACATAGATATCTGTACCTATGTGGTACACATAGATATCTGTACCTATGCGATACAGATGCATACAGCCACTCTGATAGGACATGTCAGCATAGCAGGGATGTCTGAGGGAAAATGGGCACCTTTCCAGCCTCCAAATTCCAAAATTAATTCCTTGTACTCTACTAGAAGGAGTTTAAACCTCAGGTCATGCCTTTGCAGTTGTACATTACTCCTTAGGCAGTTCAAACTGTGTCCTTTTGTTCATTTTTAAATGTGTAAACTTAATATGCAATGACTTTGAACTCACAAAGGGCTCCCAATTTATAGACTGTTTAAGGTGTTTTTATTGAAGATGGGAGTTTTATACTTCAGCCACTTAGGGTTGTGTTCACTGAGGCCTTGGGTGTTTGTCTAGAGTAACTGCTACTGTGTCCACAAGTCTATTAACAGATTGCAGTACTAAATACACAACTAAAAATCTATTCCTCCACCCCATGGCTGCAACTTGCTTGAACTTGTGCAAAAGGCTGGACAGGGCTTACTCTGGGGTTTAAAAAATGGCTGTCCCATAATTTAAGTTGAATCACTTTCTAATCAGTTTAAGCACAGGTTATGATATCCTCAAATAAGCATCTTTGATAGCAGCTGGAAACAAAATATGTTTATGTGCTTGTAGGTACCATGTCCCCTTTCTAAGTCATCTGTTTGCATGAGAAATGATTGTGGCTGGAGATGGACTCTGTGTGGCACAGATTATGATATGTTCAAATAAGCATCTTTGATAGCAGCTGGAAACAAAATATGTTTATGTGCTTGTAGGTACCATGTCTAAGTCATCTGTTTGCGTGAGAAATGATTGTGGCTGGAGATGGACTCTGTGTATTTATCCAAAAATAACTGAGCAGACCGGTTTTGTCATCACTATTGCTTTGGGTGGTTGCAGACAGAGTGCTCACCTCAGGCATCCTGTGGCATTGTAGAAGATATCAGGGTCGGGTAGAACACTTGATTTTGGGTAATCTCTGTCTGGCCAACCTGAGTAGGGGATGAGGACAGCTTGGGTCAGTGTCTGCAGGGCTTCTCTAACCAAGAGGTGCTTCAGCTGGTCGTTGGAGGACAGATTCCACAGCAAACCTGTAACAGCCACAAGAAAATCAGAGAGGAGATTGTTTTAAAAAGACTCCTCTGCACTTTGAAAGACTTAATCTCACAGCCCTTGATGTTAATGAGTGAAGAGCCTGCCTGGCACTGATAATCTGAAGAGAAGCAGAAGGGATTGATAAGTGCTCACCAGCCCTGATCCAGGGACATGGAAAGACAGGGGAAAATGGGGCAGAATTATCCATGTGAATAAATGAAAATTTCTATATAGTGAGTCCAATGCCCAGCCAAGAAATGCAGCTTTCCATGGCTCTGCATTGTCCATCACCTTTTCCATTAGCAAAGCAGCACAAGCCAAGGGAAAACAAACTCACAAAAGGGATAGGTGGGAGGTGCAGAGAGTTTACAGGAGATCTGCTGGAAGACAGGAAATGCCCATTACCAAGTTTCTCTAACACTTGATAGCAAAATTTCTCATAAGAGGGAAAGCTGTTAACACTGGTTGGCTGCTACTGTCCAGGCATTAGTCACTAAACAAATCATTGAGTAATGCTACAAACCTTGTCTGCTCACAATCTCCAGGACTAATTTTAAATATAATCTTGTTGAACTTAACAGGTTCCATTATGTTCTATTCCAACAGACAATCCTTTTTAAGATCTCTTCCCTTGGAAAACAACATGTATTTCTGCTTTTCACTACAAAGACATTCATTGTTCCTCCAGCTTGCTGCTCTGAGTTTCACAGACCTCCTCCTCCACACACTGGCAGAGTATTAGTGAATGTTCCTTTCATCAGCTCATAACAAGAACAACAAAAAATGTTTCTTTTGTATCTCCTTACACTTTGAATTTAATTTCAGTTATTGTGAGCAACAGTAAAATCAAAACAAAAGCCAGCCAGAAGCAGCCCATTCCTTCTTCTGGGATCAACTCTTCAGCCTCTGAATCAGGGGATGAAAGGAAGAATGTACTTTTCTGAAGGATAGGTGAGGCTTACAGGAAAACAGACAAGCAGTCCAAAGGGCATTGCTTAGCAAAGCAGATTAAGACAGAAGGGCACAAATGCAAGGAATGGCACAAGGAAAGTATATACTTTAAAAAAACCACATTTGACATTACAGGCAGATACTTAGAATTGTCACAAGAGAATTTGAGATAGTGGTCTCACTGTAAATTTCCCCACAAAAACCCTACCTTTACCCACAGGCACTGTCTCTCTGGACTCAGAAGGATTCTCTCAGTGGTATTCTGGGTGTGGATGAAGTTGTGCACATTAGAAAATGTCTTTAGGAGTGGCTTGTTTCCTTGCACCCATGCTATATTCTTAGGAGCATAGCTTTCCCTTAGATGGTTATTTGGAAAAATGGGTGGGGTCTGCTTTTAAATTTTACATTTCTTTTAATGACAGTTCTGCTCATGCTGTAATCTTACCCGCAGGAAAAAATTTTCTTTCATTTTTTATATTTATGTTGCATGATAACAAGATCAGGAGGTTAGCTACTTCCAGGAGGCTTATCTGGCTTACCTTTAAAAGCTAATATCTTTTGGTTCTTTCATGCCACAGCCATTATACTTTCTCTTCTTCAGTATGCTCTCCAAATACTACAAAACTCCAATCCTTTCTTAGGGGCTGCAAATGAAATCCTCTCCTACAATTCAGGAGGAACCTCACTTCTTTCCTAAGAGATTTCTAAGTAGCTTGTATGCCAAAGAAAGGACAGAGCCTCTGTTTACTTTATCTGTACCTATAATTTTGTGAAGCTACCAAATTCAGTCAAATTCAGTGATCTTAGGCAGGTCTGACTCCCCCTGTGAAGAGATCATATGAGCACAGAAATTGCAGATAAACTGGGCAGCTCTTTTCTGCAGGGGGGCATTAGGCAGGCTGGCCCACAGCAGCTTTCAAACCCCTGTCATCAGCACGAAGCTGCTTTGGTGGGGCAGTGCTTTGGTGGTTTTTGTGTGTTCACAGACTGTGAGGCACATGCTGTAATCAGCATTTATCTCCACACACTTTGGTTGCTCTCAGTCTTTTCACAGCACAATACAAGGCACAGTGGCTCACTCTGTATTCCTAAGCCTGGGTCCTGAAGAAAATATAGGCCATCCAAGTATTCTTTGAGAACATGATAAAATATAGATTAATGTTAGGCAAGTGCTTGTCTGTATTAACACTGATGGTCCTCATAAACCAGTGACCTTTAAAGATAAGCTTCTGAGGCTGAGATTTACTTATCTCAAGTGCACCAGTACTGTATGTCTGACAGGTAATGAAGTACAGTATCAGAAAACTTCCATCTCAGAGTTTTAATTTCCTTTTCTCCTACAACTTCCTTATTTCATATACTTTTGTCAGGTGGAGTGCTTTGGTACCATGCTTCCCACACAGCAGCAGAAACAAAAAACTTTCCTCTGCTGAGCTTAGGCATCTTTATTATCTATTGCATGCTTTCAATCCTTGGCCAGGAGTTTTTCACTACAGTTCAATGAGGTATTATCAGGTATCAAGATGATTTTACTAATCTTTTATGGGCAAAGACATTTAGCTGAATATGATGCCATACATTTGGAAGTCCCTAATTTACAGTCAAAACAGGTAAATCATACGCATGATGAGGAAAGACAAATGGACTTCTGGTGCTGACTGGTGAAAGACCAAGTTACCTTTTCCTGGAAGTGCACACTTCAGAGAGGTTGCGTGCATAGATATGATATTCCACTAGTACTGTATGAAGTCAAAGGAATGCAAGAGGTGAAATTCATTCATCCAGACTGCCCTTTGCTCTTGTAGGCTCCTTGCAGCTTGCTAGGGAGCTGGAAGAACTGTTCAAGTGGTGGCAAAAAGTATGCCCTGGTTTCATTAAGGTACCCAGTGCACTTCCTCCTGGCTGCACATCTGGTCTTGAACAAAGTAAGAAACACTTCTCTCTTGACGTATTTTTAAAGTTGTCCTTAGCAACTGATAGGCATGAAAGCACATGATAATATTTTGCTTTACACAAGCTACATCATTCTGCTTGGCATAAATATTTTTGGTGTCTTCTTTGTTTTGTGAGTAAATATTCACATTCAGTGGCAGCAGTAATTGCTGAAAGAAGATGTTCCTTTATCCATTTCCACACTGGTGAAGGGAAAGACAGTAATATTCACAATATACATGTGAATTATTCACACATTCAATGTTTTTGTCAAAAATCATGGAACTGCTAGCAAGGAAAGAGCATTGGCTTTCTGGCCACTCTGCCACCACTCTCACTGCTTCCCTCACTGGTCTATAACAGCACAGAGAGTTGAGGCACTATACAGTAAATTACTATGTGACCCAATTCTGCAACCAATGAGTGTAAAAAACTTAAAAACATTTTAACGTTGCAGAGCTGAAGAACTGAGCTAAAAAAAAGCCAACAATACAAAGCTTTGTTCTCAAGCTTAGGGAGCAGAGTATTTCAAATACTTTAAAGAATGCAGAAATACAGAAAGTCTCAACATGTCTTTGCTTCAGGACAGGGCTGCTTGACAATTTCAGTATCTTTTCACGTACTGTTCTCTTAATACATTTTGTTCCTGGCGTCTTTAAAAACACTTGAAATAAATCCCCATCCATTTATTCATGTTTTCCATTTATAAAATATAAGCCTGCTCTTCCTTTGCATGCTAATTAGAAAGAATGTGGGTCACAAGCAGTGGAATTCCAAGAGACACACTAGGGACACATGGGACTCAGGGATGAAGCAGGAATCTGGGGCAGTGGGCTTGGTGGGGAATAGAACAAGAACTTTCTGTCCTTAGCACAGGACAAATCTGGGTGAAAGGCTTCAACAAGGAACTTCCAGTAGCTGAGCTGCTGTATAGTAGCAGGCATTAATTATGGTCCCAGGGAGCCTGACTTTCTTTTCTGGAATATCAAGGATTTAAAGCTTCCTGCAAGCACACTCACTTCATCTCTGAAGAAGCTTTAAGAGGGGAAGTTGCAGTCTCCAATCTCTTGTTATTGACTGAAAGACTGGTCTTGAGTAAGGACCTTGGAATTTTACCTTCCAGGAATTGCTTAGAGTAGGTGACAATGTTTTCGTATTTAGTCACTAAACAATCGTGTACCTCTCCCTGAAAGCTTTTGCTCTACTTAAAGCACTTCACGCTTGACTGCAGAGAAAGCACTACCTGTGATTTGCTTCTTAGTCTCTATGTCCCTGGAGTGGCGGAGCAGGCGGAGCAGGAGTGGGATCCCTTTCTGCTCTGACACTTCCAGTTTGTTGTCATTGTCCTCAAACACCAAGTTTCTCAGAGCACCACACGCTGCCCGCTGAATGTCCTCATTCTGAACCTCAAGCAGCTGTAGAAGTCTGGGGATACCACCAAGTGAGAAAACCTGTGAGGAAAACAGAGCACAGCAGAGAATTGTCAGATGCTGTAAATGACAAACTCCCCTTTCCCCCTGCTCCAGCAAAGGTTTAGTTATAGGGACTCCTTTCATTTGCTCCTATTTGAGAGACTTGAAGCACAGATCATTAATCATTTGGGCATGACTATTAACCTCTGGGCTTTTCTATGACTAATACTTAAAATCCACAACAAGGAGAGGCAACATGTTTTCATAATTAATATCAGAGAATGATACTAAATCTCTCCCAGCTTTGCCCAGATTTGTACTCTCTGACAAGACATTTAATCACTCTGCTTTTTAGCTTCCATGTTGGTGAAATGAATATTTGAGATTTAATTCTGGAACATTTATAAACAGATTTTTTTTTTCCTCAGCAACAAGCCTGATGAAAACACAGTGTTCTTCCCAATGCATGTATTGAAAGTGTATTAATACCCAATACATTATTACTAATACTTCTTAACTATGCCACACAGAGGAAGAATAGTAAAAGCAAGCATCAAAATGTAGAGCATTAAGCATTGTTAGCCAGCTATCTACTGAACTACCCACATTTAGCACAGACTGCTTTTCAGTGTTTAAATCTTCAGAAAATGAGCTTTAGGCCCCAAATGAATGAAGGACTTAAAATATGTTATTTTACAGTAGCTGTATGGAAACAAAGAGTTTGTTGTGGTAAATGAAGAATCCCATACAAACTGTGATATGACACAAGCAAGCCTGAGCTGACTCAGGAATGAATTTGCTATGGAAAGTACCTTACATTAATGTACCATTGCCAACAGTCTCCTCCAGCATCCCAAAATGCCATATGGTTTTGTGGACAAACTCACCCTTGTGCAGAATCAACAGCACATGAAAGACTCAGAAATCTGATATAAGCGTCTTAAACAGTCCAGAGTTTAATGATAAAAAGGACTCAATACAACCAGCAGGTGTTGGCAACACGAAGAAATGGAATGCAACAAAGCCTTTTGTCCGTCATGGAGTAAACTACACAGCCTGGCAGCTTCTCCTCTCATCCACCTGTACAAAAGGCACAGTTTCTTTATCCTGCTCTGCTGAGCTGATTCCCTCTGCAATCACTCAGGACTCACCTAAATGCCAGCAGAGTGGAACACAGGAATGTGCATGGTGAGGGCAGTGGTGCATAGAGCATGCTGAAGGCACATAATCCTGTTTATTGCAGTTGATCAGCCCTTTTGACACCTGTAGTTTGGTTTTTAAAGTATTTCTGCAGACTTTCTGTCACTAATTTTAAGGCATTTATAGTTCTTGTAAAAGGAGTGCTATTTCAACCTAATTTGCTGAGAATTTACAACAGCTATTGACTGGTCCTTCTAAATTTTCATTAGTAGATAAAACTCACCAAAATACTGAGAAGTTCACAGAAACAGAAAAACCACTAGACCCACAAACTCTCAAATATCAGAGAAAAATAGACAAAGAATGCAGGCTGAAAGGCTAAAAGGGGGACACAAGACCATGCCAACGTGAACAAGTCTGATGGGTACCAAACAGAACAACTCGTTACAGGATATGTGGGATGGACAGGAAAATGTAAGGCAGCCTCAGGCTGACTGCTCCAACCTGAACACTACTCAGCCACTGTTTTCCTGGGAAGCTGCCTGAGAGAGGTCTGTGCAATAACCCACTTTCAAACATCCAATTCTGAAGCTCTGTCCTCACTTTGAAGTTAAGGTTGACACCTGTACTGTTATTTTCTCCCAAAACTGACTCTGACATACCCTAAAGCAAGTAAGAAGGACAGAGAGATGTTTGGCTGTCACTGAACTGGACTGCATGCACATAATTTTGGAAGTAAGGCTGGGATTACTGAGCATATTACAAACCAAAGCAGGTGTAATAATGTCTTTTAATGGTTAAAATAAAAAATCACCTTACACTTTATTGTACAGAACTGTTAAGCAGGAGACATATTTGTTTTCAGTAGTGACATTTAAAGAAAAGGAAAAGAGAATATTTTTATTAGACCCTTTCAAAAAACTTCTAAGAGACTTAAGTTTCTTGTAAGAGAAAATTTCAAACATTGAAAATTTGGTAAATCTAAACAATGTACTAATGCATATGCACAGTTCCAATGAGCCCTTAACATTTTTGCTAATCCATGTACTTTTTTAACACATTTGTACAGTCCTAACAAACCCTGAAGCTTGGATAAGTTTGCACTATACTCAGAATTTTGGTTTTTGGGATATTTCTGCATGTGAGTCAAAAATAGGAGACAGGAACAACTATATTGACAAAAAGTTCAGACTCCATGATTTGTAAAGGCTGAAAGAATTAAGTTTGTTCAGCTGAAAAAGGGCAAACTGAGTGGGTATGCAACGAGTGGGTTCAAAACAATCTGCAGCAAAACACTTAGATGCATTTTAAAGAAAATATCTAACACCAGTATCCTATAAGATTACTCAGACTGCCTTCTTTCTTTTCATGTTGGCACATAGTGCTACAAAGTATAGAATATTGTTTTCTCTGCCTGATTGTAGCTGACAAAAGAATAATTACTTACTTTTCTCCTGGCATCTGCTTTTTGGAAGCACTCATGCTGTATGAAAGTCACTGCAGCAAGGATCCTGGGGGTGGACTGTGTGTTTTCACTCTTCAGAATGTTCACTGCACGCTCCAGGGTCATCTCCACTTCTGGGCTCCTTAAAAGTATAGACAGAGAGATCTAGTGAAGAAAGACTACAGAAAAATTATCAGTCTTGTAAAACTAGGATTTTTGTGTTTTTCATGTAACTCTAGCTTTTATTGGAAATTTTTTCCCCTTTCCAGTAGCAGAAATATCATAATGGCTTTAAGAGATACTGACATTCAGGAGGAAGAGAAAGTCAGAAATAGAAGTGTGGTTCTGGAGAAAGCAAGTCATGCTTTAAGTTATAATAACAAAATGGAACTATCAGTAGACGTTTGTATCAGTGTTTCCAACCAGTGGGTGAATGAAGAATGTGAAAGGAAGGATGAAGAAGTGGATGAGGATCAAAAGAAGGCCATAACCATGTCAGAGTGACTATTACTGGCCATGAAGATACTCTGATGTTTTCCTCAATAGTGCGAGGATTGGTTTTTTTATTTGTCCTTATGCCTTTTATCAGTGTCTTAGCTCCCAGACTACATCTATGCAGGGTTCAGAACCTCATTTTTTCAAAGAAGAAAGTTGTTCTTAAGGATTGTTTTTTTTATTTGTCCTTATGCCTTTCATCAGTGTCTTAGCTCCCAGACTACATCTGTGCAGGTTCAGAACCTCATTTTTTCAAAGAAGAAAGTTGTTCTTGTTTGAAATAGATGGGCAAAGCTATTTTTCAGGTGGGAAAAATAAGAATACCACTCATTAAACTGAGTATGTAGAGATTCTGTGGTAGAGAATATCAAAAATATGTGTCACCACTTCCCTTTCAACTTCCAACATGTTTGCTTAAATGGTGATTGTGTTAGATAACCATATAAAAAAATGGAAAGAGAGGTCACCAAACACATTTTTTCCCCAGTAAATGGAACATAAGCCAATTAATGGCACAATCAAGTGCATTAGCTCTGGGACAGGTGGTTATGCTCCCCAGACTTTTTATTTACTTTTGGTTTCAAATATGCTGCACAGTTGACAAGAATGTGAGCATTCTTTTTTTTTTTTTTTTTAATCCAGATCATTTTGTAGTAGCAGATGTGCCACCAGCCAGAAAGGGATGAGAGGGCAGTCTGTGACCACAGTGAACAAGCAGTAACTGGCAGTAATTCCCTACTGCAGATCTACCAGAATCAGAATGGTTTACTTGATAATCATCTTAGTAAATGAATCTGTAGTTAGACATTTTAGCTCAATTGCCTTTTACATTAAAATTAGCACCTGGGAAGTTAGATTAATTAAAGTTTAAACTTTAATTTTTTTTTTCTTTAAACTAAGCAGAAATATTAAATAATATTTAACAATGCTCAGAAAAGTGGAACATGGAAAATTAGCCAGATGATATTTGTTCTTTTTACTCTGTAGTGGAACTGAAAAACAGGCTTTTCAAACTTTGGTTTTAGTTACATGTCTTAAATCAGTGAAAGTTTTGAGACCAGGTTACAAACCTACATATGTGACCACGTCGACCTGTTGGACACAGCAATAATTTTGGAGCATTGTGACCAAGTTCAGTCACCTTCTGTGAGCAGCAGACATCCCCCATGTACTAAATCGTGGCATTTCACTGACCAGTGGCTGGAGAGGAAGAGAACCACGGGCTTCCCAAGGTCAAGCATGAGCTGATCCCTCAGGGCACACCAGGGAATTTATGTGGCAACTCAACCTCAGGGTGTCCCAGAGGAGTAAAAGTCCACCAGGAGCCACTGCCAGGCTGAGATGGACACATGGACAGGCAGACAGGGCATTTCTAGGTGCTGGGGTGTAGCTCTGCCCTGAGAGTGACAGCAGCTCCCCAGTCCCAGTTCCCCCTTCACGCAGCAGGCAGAGGATTTCTGTCCTGTTGTGCACTGCCATACTTGGATTGCTCTCCACTGGATAAAAATAACATTCCCTAACATTTTATCTGGCAGCAGTAAGGGATGCAGTACCATCTCTGACCCTCAATGGTATTCATAAAGCTGCAGCACCCTAACTCTTGTCAAAATAAATAGAATTTGATGCAAAGATTCCATTCCCACCCTTGAAGTATTTACAGGCAAACTTAATTAGCTCTGTGGCTGACTGACACATGAAGAGACACCAAGCAAATGGTCAGCCAGGCAGAGGCTGTTCAACAGAACAATGATTTGACAGATTCTGACTTCAGCTTAATTGCCAAAGTATACCAGTTTTGAGACAAATACATTTTCTGGTAGCTTTCAGCACATTTAAAGGTCAGATTTTGCAAGCAGCCATTTCTCAGACAGCTTCAGGTTGAACCTCTCTCTTTTCTAAGCTCTTAATCATTAGGATGCTCTTAACTGATTCACTTCACCAGAAGATACAGAGATAGCATCTCTGTACTTTGATTTTTTCGTACTTTGCTTTCATAGCATGAACTAATTCTTTTACAGGAAGTTTGAAAATGCATTTGTGATACGTTTCCAATGCTGTATACAGCTTTAAACTTACACAACTATTTTACATTCTCTTAATTCACTTGGAAAGACTTAAATTGTGGCCTGCATTAAAAAAAGGCACAGGTTTCTGGAAAAATTAAATTATTACAACAACAAGCTTATCTTTTTTCTCCCCTTTAAATTACTAAGGGAGCAACAAGTAAGGTAGCAATATGTCAGATAAATGCAACCTTCAAATAAGAGAATGAGAAATAACAAGAAAACTGAGAGTGCCTGCAAATTCCTTGAACTGAGAGAACTTCTGGCAAACATTGAACCTAAAAACTGGCACTTAAGGAATTATGCCATCACAAAGATTTCCAGCAGATCACAAATCTGCCATCTGAGTTAACATGGTCACATTAAAGCCACTTCTGCAAGGATTCAAGATTGATTTTTACATCTGAAGGTATTAAAATATTTTGGTTGATGCTTGTACAGACAGACAACCAGACTCCAGTGTCTGCACCTGCAAAAGAAAAGCCAAAATTGCTCCTACATGTAATTCAAGATAAAAATTGTTGGTTGTGGCTCAGAAATGCATTCCAGAATGTGCCAAAAGTTTAGCAGATTATTAAATCAAAGGGATACATGTTTGTAAATTGTCTTACTGAAAAACAAAGTCCTCCCTACTGAAAAACAAAGCCAGGCATCTATTTTCAGTATTACTACTCCATTACTATTTATAAGCCTGTACACTTATAAGTAAACGTATTTAATGTCAGATCTCCTAAGTCCTACATCACCCAGAGATGAAAATTTCTATTAAGAGCAGAAGTAAGCATAATACCATATATGTTTGCAAATATAATCATAACATACAACATATAGTTGACAACAAAAAATACCTGATCTGCACATAGCAGTGATATCAGGTGATGCCTTTTCTCACAAAGCAAGAAACTCAGAAAAAGAGAAAAGATAGGTCTTCAGAAAAATGAACTTAACAGCTACACAGTTATGGGGAAAAAATGCCATTTCTTAATAATACTGTTGTAAATTACACTACAATTAACTTAAACAGAAATTTTAGGATGGTTATTTGAATTGTGAAACAACAGCAAAAACCAGAATCAACATGCAACCTTCTCCTGTATACCAAGTGGCTTGTTCTGTCCACTGAAAAGTAACAGCTCTAGAAACACTCAGAATTATTCTAAAATGAAAAGATATTCACTCCTGAGGGGAAATTCAGAAATAATGAGATTTCTCTTTTGAAAATGGAACAGATTTAAAACATTCTGAAATCTTGTCTGGGAAGGAATTTTTGTGGGGGAAGTAATTTTGGGAAAAAATCCAAACAACCCTTTCCACTATTTTAAACAATTTTCATGAAGTCTAGGGGCAGATTTGGGACTTTTTGGCATGTACCTAACAGAGTTTCAAATTAAGATAACTCCCTCAGAGCATGTAGGATCTCATGGTATTGGGAAGCTCTGGGGTCTTGGGATTCAGAGCAGTTTGTGTTTGTTCTAGGGAGGGATGGTGCTACAGAGCTAAGCAAAAATTCTGCCCGTGTTTTACCTGAAGTTTACAAAAACCTAAGAGGTGTCCTTGAAACCATGGAGGATTTTTAACTGGAAATTGTCATTGTGCCAGAAGCTGTCCCACTGGTACTTTTCTGACCTGTTCCCGTGAGAACCAGCACTGATAAGAGTATGGGCTTTTGTGAGCAGAATATTTGGCAATACAATTTTGTGTATTGTGACTTAGGTTGTAAAGTACTCAGTGACTGTTTCATGTTTCTTGATAAAGTTAACTCTTGGCAAAAGGGGGTCCCAAACTTCAGCAGAAGGTGTATATCTTGCACTGTACATACACATACATTTTTTCTCCCCTTTCCTCCGTTGCACTGGATGTGGCTTTTTAAAAGCCAATCTACTTTCTGCCTTCTCTGCACTGATATTTCATGCATGGTGCTGGCTGTTGAACCAAAGGCTATGAGTTTACTTTCTAACAAGCATGTTCTTGTCAGCTGTGAGAGCCCAGAGCCAAAGCAGCTCCTGCACTGTGCTTACCCCAGCTGAGATCCATTGAGGGTCGCTTGCTCGCTCTGCAGGAAACCATTTCTCCCAGCTGCAGCCACAGCAGCTGTCACTGGCATCCTCTTCCCATCCGTTTCTGCAGTGACACTGGCTATGGAAGCTGGCTGGGACGCCTCCCTCCTGCTCTGGGTGTTTCTGAAGGCGGTTTGGTAGAAGCTGGACCTCACAGACTGCCTGTTCTGAGACAAGCGGGACGCGGTCGGGGACCTCACTTGTCCCATGGCGCTCTCCGAGGCCAGGTAGTTTTCCTTCTCCAGAAGGTTGCTCATGCTGCGGCTGTTGCCAGGCTGGTGGTACAGAGGGACAGCGGGGCTGGGGTAGGCACCGTCAAGGAGAGCATCGCTGGCAGCCCCCGTGTGCGACTGCCTCTTGAAGGAGCGTCCCCTGTGCACGGAGTCGCGCAGGGTGTACCCGACGATCTCGGAGCGAGCGTATCTCGGCGGCACAGTCCCGCTGGATCTCAGGCCATCTCCGTGCCTCACGGAGAACCCAGCTGAAATCCCTCCGTCGTAGTGAAAATCGTTGGGCACGTACGCCAGCCTTTCTGGATTTCGCTGGGGAGAAACCTCCAGTCTCTTCAGAGGCTGCCTCTGAGCCCTCTCTTCCATCGTCCTGTAAGCAATCCTTGTCCCCCAGCCATTGGTGTAAGAGGATGGGGAGGCAACCTGCTCCAGGGGGCACGAAACAACAGGAGACACAGTAAGGTGACAGCAGCAGAGAAACCAAACCAAGAGAAACCAAACCAAACGAAGTAAAGGAACAAATTCTACAGTCTGCTCTCAGAATCACAAAAAAATACGTGAACGTTGCCAAAATTGTGCATCAAATGGGATTCTGCCACACTTCTTGGTACCTCCCTCATGAAGGCAAGAAGAAGTACAGTCTAAACATCAGGAGACAAAGGCTAAGCATCCTGTCTTCTGTCATGAACTCAAAACAGTTGGATAAGCCAATTAAGCCAGGTAATGAACAGAATGATTAATAATGGAGATTCTTCTGTTGCAATTCCTTGGGGATTAACACCAACATCTGCTACTAGAGCTAAATTCAAGGCTGTCTAATAGAAGAAAATTAATCAGATACAAAAATTTTTATACTGAAGTGTTTTGATATTGATAATAACCTTATTAATATAAAGTTATTTAGCACTTGAGTTCATTTGTGGTAGGATCTAGTAAAAAGAGATAGTCCCTTCTCTGTTTGTTTAGCCTCTTAAAAATTAAGGAGACTGTATAACATTCCAATAAAATTAAAATTACTATTTCACAAGCTCAATGACTTCCCTAATTCTACAGTTGCAATTTTAGGTTGTTTTTTCTTCCTATACCTAATGGGGAGAGACTGCATTAGATCATAATCTGGCTTTGCAATTTTGTCTTTTCTAAACCAAACAAATCCACTGCAGTCAACCTTTCTTTGTTGACTATCTATGTTCAAGATTCTTAGTTTTAGGTACTGTTTGAGGCCTCTTGATTTTTACACTTTTTTCTTGTACTCTGTATTGGACTGCATACTCCATTCAAAACCTTCCAGAAATAAATCCACTTGGGACACTACCTGGCCTTGAAATAGAGGAGTCATGGACCAATTTTTAAAAAAATCAGTAAGCATAGGGGCATACAACCATAAGAGAAAACTCCATATCTCCACAGTGTGTTAAAGTTTAGAAATATTAAAGACATTTTTTAAGGTAAATGGAGAAGTTTTGACAAGCTTTTAAGTGAAGAAACAGTGCTCAGCAGATAGATGCCAGACTGAATTCCCTTAATTTCACTATTGAGGAGATCCTGAGGGTGATAGTTGACTCACAAAAGGAGTAAAGGTTATAGAAACTAGCAGGCTCAGGCAAAGATCATTGGATATATCTGTTTATTCTACAGAAGTTATGCAAGGATATCTTTACCTGTTGTTTGGGGATAATTAACATTTTTTGTGAAGTACTAGACCTTGTAGCTTTTCCCAGCTTTTACACTTTTTTCTCTTTTCTCCCCACCCCCTGCCTGGTAAACTGTATTATTTTCTTGTGATTCCTATGTCACCTCCACTTTTCCTCTTGTGGCTGCCTTATAGAAGGAATGAATTCAGGTCAAATGTTATGGACTGCAGGACAGGTGAGAATAGAGGGTGGGAGGACAGAGAATGAAATGCGTTTAGGTAAATGCTTCTGTCTCTCCCTATACAGAGTTAGAGCTGCTTCACTGACTGCTCAAAAGCTGGACTATTGCTTTTAATGACAAAAAGCCATTCTCGAGTAGTCTAAAATTAGGAAAGAATTGCCCCCTTCATGCATAGTTATTTACCAAATAAATGTTCTTGTTCTCAAGCCAAAATGCTTTCAGTTTACTAAACTGATTGTGCAGGAGCATTGCTACCAAGCTGTGATAATTTCCCAGTCGCTCCTTCAAATAGGTCCAAAACCAATTATGAGCTGTGTCAAAAACCCTGCAGAAAACCAATTATTTATCTCGGCATTCAGGCCATGACCCCAACCAAAACTGGTCAAAATTACAAGAGAATTTATGATTAGATGGTTTAGAAACAGCATTGTATTGCAAGGACTGTACTGCTGGAATTCTTATAATGATAAAACAGGTTACAATAGGAGTATTTAAAAATATAAGGAACCACTCTACATTCTGAAAACTAAAGTATTTGTGAAGCTAAAGCAATCTGTTTTGCTTTGGTTTTGGATGCTTAATTCTGTTTGCCTGGGCAGCCTGGCCTCTGGCCACCCTGAGGTACAGATGTGCCGGCTGAGCTGCTGTCTGGAGGGAGGGATGATGATCTGACTTGTCACAGCCTTTGCCTCAGTGGAGTGTAAATATGATTTTTCATTTTCTACCCTGATGCCAATTCTCACAAACCCAACAGCACTGCAAACAGCCCATCTGTGTGATTGGCTTGAATTTGGCTACTGGGCTCTGAAGTCATTGGAAGGAAGAGAGAACACAAAGAGATTTCATTGTAAAACCCTCATTTTCTAAAAATCAGGTTTTAAGAAGAAAATGAACAAGCAAACAAACCTTGTAACACCATCTAAATGTTATCATTTGTGGCAACAAAATGAATAAGCTATGTGTGTGATACTATTTTTATTTCTACTCATTGTCTTGCTTTCCTCACCTGGTTTGCCTGGTAATATGAGAAACTGTAGGGAGACCTTGGTGCAAAATCATTCTCAGTGATCCCCATGTTATAGACACGCTCTGGTACACTGGATGCACGGTGCAGGCTGCCTGGAACCAAAGATTAACATCAGTAAGGTCTCACCAAAACACGGCATTCTTATAAAGGATGGTACATAACACTGGTAGCAGTCAGCACTGACATTTATGTAAGCTGAAAATTGAACAGGGAAATGATGGAGGGATATTTGCATTTTCCTGAGGATACAAGCCATTTTTTTTCCAGTTCCCTATGTACTTTGCTTAAGAGTTATTTTTAGCTTTTAGGAGTCCAGTGACTCCTGCAGCTATGAAAATTGTTTTAACAAAGCAAGCTGATATTTTAAATATGCCAGATAACGAACTGATTAAGTCCTGAGAAACAGTATCACCGAACTAAGAACACTTATTTTTCACTGTAACCACTCTGAATGAACATGCAAATATATAAATGCATGGTTTACCCTGGCTGACAATGACATGCAAAGTACTCAAGGGATGAAAAAATTGCAGCTGTAGATTGGAGCTGAGAAACACAGGTTGGTGTCTATGTCTGTTACTGTGCATACTAGAGGTGCAGATTTCACTATGTAAACAGTTTGTAAACTGCTTGTAAACAAACTGCACACACTGAGTATTTCAGCACACACTCTTTATTTAGATTGGTGTCCGTGTCTGTTACTGTGCATGCTAGAGGTGCAGATTTCACCACATAAACAGTTTGTAAACTGCTTGTAAACAAACTGCACACACTGAGTATTTCAGCACACACTCTATTTCACAGCTGTCTGTCTGCCTCAGCTGCTGCTTTTTCTTCTCCCTCAGGTGCTAATTTAATGGCAGTGTATTGGAGCAAATAATGCTTCACTCTTCTCAGTGCTCCACCCAAGCAGCACAAAGAGTCTGTGAACAAACTCCACGGCTCATGGTGCTGTAAAGTTGGGTTGTGCACAGGCACATCAAATCTGCACCTGAAAGGTACACCAATCCTACAAATAATATCAAAGATCCACATCTTATTTGGTTATCTGCTCTCTTTTGTTTTCCATGACCCAGCTCTGAAAATAGAGCAGCACATTGTGATTATTTCTTCCAGTAAAACCCCAAAGAGGCCCACAAAACCTTCAGGCTGTTCCTTTTTTTCACTCTTTTCATTTTCAAAGAGTGAGTGCTTCTATTAATGAAACTTTTTAAAGCAACAGATATTAATGAAATAATTATTTATGAGATTCCCATGTTACTATAAGAATCTGCACACAGGAATGTAATTAACACAGGTTTAAAGAGGTGAAATAGAAGTTGAAAGCAAGACCTCAAATCAGCCATAAATGAGCCTACTAGGCTGAACAGGTAATACTGGTCAATAAAGAAGCTAACTGGCCATCAATTTCCAAAACAGCAAATATTACCTGAGACACTACAGAGAAGAAATCTAAAGAATGCTGACTTGCCCAAACTGCTGAAGATCAAATTTGTGTATCCCGTAATACAGTAAAATGCAATAAAATATAATGGCAGAATGTGATAATTTGAGGCCTAATTCAAACATAAGTTGCAATTATTTTGCTTGTATAATCATACTTTCCAATTCTCTCATTGTGGCAGATTTAAACATGTATTAGGTGATTTGTTAGGACACATTCACAGTTACTTTTTGTCATGGGAGTGGAATGGTGCAGCTTGGTCAAACTCATGATTTGGATTGTAATAATTCCTTCCTGACATTACAAGGTTACCATAGCCCAAGGGTTACCTGAGCACATGAGAAAGAGGCAGGAGTAAATTGTTCTCTTATACTGCAAAAAATTCACAGAAATGTGCACCAAAATCCCAAATTGACAGATTTATATGGATGTCTCACTTGTGTCATATAATTCCCATAGCAATGTACTATTTCAGGTGCCCAGTAAGAGTCCATCTCAGCTAAGGGCTGGCTTTTTAAAGATTCACTTTCTTCATTGCTGCATATTGAAGGACTTTCATACAATAAATAATGAAATATAAATACCCATAAATTTCTGTTTCTTTACAGTTTGTATTTTTTTTCCTGTTTACTGTACTTAGTGAGAAAGTGTTCTCAGTTATGTCCTTAGGGCATAAAAGCCCTTTCAGCAAGTAACTTTTGTATATTTTAGATAACTCTAAGCTTGTATTTATTAAAAATAAAAATACAAAAAAGAGGACAAGTTAAAAATAACAAGACTGTCCCTTAAGTGGCTGAGGATAAACTACATATCTAATACTTCCCTCCTAGAAAAACAAAACACAGTAAATCAAAAATTGTACCATGCAGTTATCTTTCAAGCATTCCCTTTTTTCTACCTTGTGAAATTATCCATCAGTAAATTTTTTTCTCTTGCAGAGACAAACACAGTATTTGTCAACCTATAGAATTTCACTTTGCAGTTATGTCTTGCTTGCTCTTATCACATCAGTAAATTACTTTGCTGGCCTTTTACCTGCAGATTTATCAGGCAGACATAAAAGGCATGGTTTTTACTGTGTGCTGGTTACTTGTGCCAAAAGTCAGTGTGGTAAAGGAAAAAGTGGGAACTGAAGTGCTGTGCCTTTCCAAATTATAGATGCAGAATAGGCGACCTCACCAAAATTTGCCTGTGCCAGTGAGGTTTCCCTCAGTTTATTTTCACTGTACTACAAAAACCTTACACACTCAGTGCAATGTTTTGTTGTTTGATTTTAAAAAGCCAAGAGTTATTATTTTTAAAATTTATATTATATTCTTTTTTTACTCTTAGGACTAATAGTCTCTGACTGTGGTTCTCAGTGTTTTAAGTCTCACAAAAACTCTCTCCTCAGGAAATAAGCACACGATCCAGTTACTCATCCACAGGGGACCAACACTATTTGAGAGGCCATAGGACACCACACTTGATTTCCAGCAGCCAGTCAGGAAAAAATGGGTTTGCTGCAGGCCCTGCATCATGTCTGTCAACCCATAAGGGTATTTTGGACAACTCAGGCATCTCAGTCAGCATCAGACACCCATGTGTGGGCAACTGAGTGGAACTGCTTATCAGTTCCCTCTCTGCTGTCAGTATGAACTAAACCAGCCGAGGAACACCTTGGATGTGGTCAGTGGAGGAGGCAAACTGAGCCCCTCTGCTCCTCTCCACACCTAAAATAAAAGCTGTGAAGAAGTCACCTGATATTGCAACAGTTACAAGAAAATTCTGAGACCAGAAAAAATAATTCCAGTGTCAGGAGGCAGCAGGCTGTACAGATGACTGAGTGGAAATCCCATCTGTCTCCAGAGACTCTTCTCAAGGCCCCTTGCTCCCCTGGAGGTGACAAGCCCAACACCTCCCAAAGCCTTGGAAATTTCTCCCCAGCAATCACTGCCTATGGCTGCAGACAGACCACCCCAATGTTTGCTTTGCTTTCAGAAACAACAATGACAAGAGGCATCCCTAAGATATCTGGTAGATGAAAAAGCCAATTATCTCCACTAAGGAGCTGGGTGTGTCAAATCCCCCTTAAATCACGGACAGGGATAACTCTCTGATGTGAGTCTTCTTCAGCACTTTCGTGTTTGAATGGATACCATGAAAGCCAAATTTTGGCTTTGAACTTCTCAGTGCAGTCATCAGTGTGGCTGTACCTGTACACATCAGTGGAATAGGACCTGAGGGACTGTCACACACCCGGAGTGCCCCCTGGCCAGTGCTCATTGCCCACTCCTGCTCAGGGCACCTGGGTGGTCACCTCCCCAAGGGGACTCCTCAGCACTCCTGGGCTGGCACCCTTCCATCCCTTGTTACACTTCAGCACTCAGGATGGACTGAGATGATGACATTTAATAATGGCATATCAAAACCATCACTGAATCCCTTCATCTCCAGATCAAAGAGCCTTCCTTTTGATTGTACTCCTTCACCACTCTGCCAGCACGTGCCTGGTCCCAGGGGAGTTTTTCTAACATTTTGTGTTGGTTAGGACATTTACACAAGGGTTCAAATTTAAGAAAAAGATTTCTCCTGGCTCAGAAAGCAGAGGAATGTAACAACACCAACAAAAATTGAAAGTCAATACAGATGTGTTTTCTACTTCCTTATCCCAGCGAGATAGAAAATTACTATGGAACAGTCAACATGCCAGCAAAATAGAAAGCTAAGGACAAAAAGTGCCCTGAATCCCTAAAAGCAACTGTTACAAGAAAATACTATGAATTTTAAAAATTATTAAATGTGAGGAATAAATAAGTCTCTGATTTCTATCATCTTATATCTGATGCTGTTTATTTGGAAATCACATAAGATTGAATTCTGCTTTTACTTTTTGTTTGATTGGGTTTTTTTAATAAACACACTGTGTTTATAAAACTTTTTAGAAAAATAATCAGTACACACAAAACAGTTCATCAGGACATTTGGTTTTGCTTGGTTTTGTGTCATACATTACTCAATTTTGCCCTCATTTTTTACAGTCAGGATCTGATAAGGATGCCTTAAAGAGCCAATCAAAACCCAAAAGGAACAAGAGGAGAGGCAAGTGGACTCAGAATGAAGTTTAAAAGTTTGCTAAAATGTACATGAAATAAAAACAGCATGTGCAACAAAACACGAGTCATTAAAATCTCTGATTCCAAATGCCACTTTTCCTTTGATAAGGTGAAACTACCTACCATTGTATTTCCATTCCTAAATAGCATCCAGAAATTTGATATGACTGCTTTAGTTGTTCAAAACTTTTAAGGGCAGCACAATCTTTAATTTATAAAGGCTCAGCAGTGGGTAAACTGGACAAGTTGCAGCTGTTGTTGAACTGCTTGAAAAGCTATTAACAATGCTTGACAACATCTTGAAAAGAGTTGAGCACATGTGTAACCTCATTCCTTTGGCAGCAGGTGGAATCCTCGAATCTGAAGGTTACTGAATTTCTATTATTAGAAAGAAACACACCTTCTAAAAGGGGGAAAAGGGCATGAAATAACAAACAGTATGGGGGTAGGAGGAAAAAAAAATTTCCATATAAAAGTAGTGCTGAAGGCTAAGCAGACACCTCTAATTTGAAACTGTAGAGGGAAATTATGTTGGCTGACAAATTGATTCTTGTGGCTTCAAAGTTTCAGTAGAGCATAGTATAGCCAGAGTATAGTAGAAAATACTATAGAAAATAAAATATAGTTTCAGTAGAAAATGGGTGTGCACCGATGACACTGGGCAAGAACTTTTCCTGCCACTGATTTTTCACACCCAGTGGTTATGTGCTTGGCTAATTTTAGGCATGCATGTGAACACTGTGGCTCGGTATGCACTAAGTACCTTGCTGAGCAGAGTCTGAAATACTCCTACAGACAGGACAGTTATGTCACAGGGGACTGCTCCTGCTTCCTCTAAATCTTTGTAATCCTCCTCTGAAACTGCAAACAATGAAAGAACCTTGAATGTAGCCAGAAAAGGGCTGTAATTCACAGAAAGGGATGCTTTTGCATGTAAAAAAGGCATATTTTTTAAAAGTTCCCTACACATCAGAATTCTAATGTTTCTGAAAGCATGGTCCATTTTTGAGCAAGTCTGTATAGAAAGCACATTGGGACACACATGCAAGTTTATGTATATTTTTCAGGAAAGTCAACATGTGAAATGCAACACTGGCTATGATTCACATTGTATATATATAAGATCTAGACAGATATACATGTATTATACACATGTATACATTAATGGAATGCATTTCAGTTTTCATTTTTTTTCTGAGTTTTACAATGGGACTAAAAATTGTACAGCAACTTGTCCATAAAACTATGTTTGAAAGAAAAAAAGTTAATTTTTTGCACGAACAAGACAAGTTACAGACATGCCATTTTCCACTCCTTATCACGAAGTTTAAAAGTTTTGGTGTCTCAGAAATGCAAGGGCATCAAATACTTGACCTTTAGAAAAACAAAGCAAACGAAGATAACTATCCCCAAATATGTCAGCTCTGTTAATGTACTCCAGAGAATCCAGGATGTCTTGAGAGCAGGGGAACTCTGTTTTCATAGTGTTTTATGCATGGTTTGGAGACATGATCTCAGATTCATGACACCGTATCACTTTTAAACTACTCTTAAAAAGCTTTCTCTGCTGAGAGAAAAAGAAATTAAGCAACCCAAAAGTGTTTAGAATCCGTATTTAAATTACAGCAGCCAAACAAAGGACTTGCATGGACTTGCAAGGACTAAGCACATTGCACACCTGTTTATGTGATTTGTACAACTGATTTCTAGGAGCAGAAATTTTGTCCATTTTTCGTCCATTTTTGCCATGAGCTGTTTTTAAAAATCGTGGCCAGTCAATGAACAAGAAAATATTTGTCTGACTCTTAAGATAGATGAGTGAAGCATGGTTATAAGGACTTTTGTCTCACAGCTTTTAGCAAATGAAAGGTGACAACTTCCTTAAGGACAATGGAGCAGCAGGGCATGTAGTCTGCAAGTCAGTCATATCTTCCCTTTTAAAAACAAAATTAAAGTTCCATGGTACATAAAGTTTTCTTGAGTGGTTAAGACTAAACCCCTCGAGTATCTTGCCTTTAACCCTCAGCACCTGGCAGTCACCCTGTGGCACAAGGTGTGGCTGCAGATTTCCTGACGGGTTTGGCCTTCTGGCTACAAGATCTGGGAAGCGAGGGATGATTGACGTCAATTTGCAGCACGCATGTCAAAGAACTGGGTAAATAATGTCCGATAGCATTATCGTTCTGTGCTTCCCATTCATGCCTTTCCTAGACTTACTTTTCCAAACTTTTTTTTTTTTTTTAATTGCACGGTTGAACAAGGCAAAACTTTTGCTACTATTTTTTTTTTTCTATTTTACTTCGCAAACAGGAGCAGTGGGTAAAACTAAAGGCATTAAAATAAGCACATGGAGCGGCTGCTGGATTAGGAGAATTCCAGCTCGGTTCCCGTCTCGGGCAGCGGAGAGCCTGGAGCGGCCCCGGCGCACCCCGAGTCACGGCGGGGGCTGGCAGGGAGAAACTCCCGACTCGCGGCGGTGGGAAAACAGTGAAAGAAGAGGCGACAGAGCCACGAGTTTGATTTCCTGACCGAGCAGTCCGCACGCCCCAGGGCTGGGAAGCCGCGGACACGGAGCCAGCTGGGGTCCCTTCCCGGAACCGTGTCCCGGGTTCCATCCCGGGGCCGTGTCCCTGGTCCGTTCACGGGGCCGTGTCCCGGGTCCCTTCCCAGGGCCGTGTCCCTGCTCCCATCCCGGGGCCGTGTCCCGGCTCTCCTCCCGGAACCGTGTCCCTGGTCCCTTCCCAGGGCCGTGTCCCTGCTCCCATCCCGGGGCCGTGTCCCGGCTCCCATCCCGGGGCCGTGTCCCGGGTCCCATCCCGGGGCCGTGTCCCTGTTCCCATCCCGGGGCCGTGTCCCAGCTCCCATCCCGTCTCCGGAGAGCATCGCGGGGCGGGCACTCACCATTGTACAGCGAGCCCCGGCTCTTCCTGGCCAGCGTCTGCTGGACCTGCCGGTGGATCCGCAGCGCCTTCTCCTCCCCGGCGCGATCTCCCGACAGCTTCAGCCGGTCCTCGGAGGGCAGCGCCAGGCTGGAGCTGTCCAGCTCGCCCAGGATCTGCTGGCCCAGCACGGTGCGGATGTAGCCCTGCTCGGGCCCGCGGCCGGCCATGGGCACGGCCGGGCTGCGCTCGGCTCCGCGGACCTGTTGCGCCTCCGCCGCTCCCGCAGCGCCGGGCCCGAGCGGCGGCCAGCGCGCCCCGCCCGCCGCACAGGTGCCAGGCACGGCCCCCGGCCCGCCCCGCCCCCGGGGACCGGCCATCCCCTCCCCTGCTCCGGCCCTGCCGCTATTCCGCACCCCTGCCCTGCCCGCCGGGGGAAAGGGTCCGGCGGGGCTGCCCTGCACGGCACAGCCCAGCTCGGCACGACACAGCACGGCACAGCCCGGCACAGCCCAGCCCTCGCCAGCGGGGAGCGGCCGCCGCCTCCGGGAAGCGCCGCCTGTCCCCGTCCGTCCTCCCGCCGGGGCAGTGCCGGAGCGGCCGGGGCTGAGCTCCCGGGGCCGCGATCGCGCGTTTGTGTTCGTGTGTTTGTGTGTGTATTTGTGTGTTTGTGTGTGTGTGTGTTTGTGTTGTGTGTTTGTGTGTGTATTTGTGTGTGTGTGTTTGTGTGTGTGTGTTTCTGTTTGTGTCGCACCCGGAGCGGCCGGGGCTGATCTCCCGGGGCCGATCTCCCGGGGCCGCGATCGTGCGTTTGTGTTCGTGTGTTTGTGTGTGTATTTGTGTGTTTGTGTGTGTGTGTGTTTGTGTTGTGTGTTTGTGTGTGGACAAGCGCACGAACCCATGTTGGGGGGTGCCCCTGTTTGTGTCGCACCCGCCGGCACACCGGGTTCCCGTGGCACACACGCCCCCCCCGTGGACAAGCGCACGAACCCATTTTAAACGTACAGATATATGCGCTGTCCTCATGTGCCGTCCCTCACAGATGCTTTGCATCACGGTATATATAAGGTAATTCCATGTTTACACATTCTGTACGTAAGTTTCAGCCTGGAAATAGAGGATGCTGAAGGCGAAGTGGTCCGTGCTGTGAAGACCAAACTTTCAGGCGGGCGTGGTTATAGGGCTGCTGGTTTGGGAGGTTTTCCTGCTGTCTGGGATTTTTCCAGCTGCCCTAAGGGATTGCAGAGAGATGAGTTGCAGCCGCCTTCTCTCGGTTTGGTTGTGAAGAGGTGATGAGGGAATTGCTCAATTAAAGCTTGGAAAAACCCCGACTGGCTCTGCCCCTGCTGCCATGAGCGGGTTTTGCCCCCCTGAAATACTGCTGGGGGAAGGCTGACATTCTCACACGATCTCAGGACATGGCTTGATTTAGTGTTCAAACACTCTACTCACGGTGGGTTCAAAGGAGGAGGAACAAGGGAACGTACAGTGTTTTGGGGAAAGGAAAATGCAGGCTTTAGAAAAAGAACTAGGTGATCCAGGGCTGCACAATTAAAAAAAAAAAAAAAAAAAAAAAAAAAAAAAAAAGGAACAAGGGAACATACAGTGTTTTGGGGAAAGGAAAATGCAGGCTCTAGAAAAAGAGCTAGGCGATCCAGGGTTGCACAATTAAAAAAAAATTCCAAAAAAACCAAAACCAAAACCAAAAAATAAAACCAAAAAACCCCAACCAAATTTCACCAAACTAGATGTAGATATTTCAACAGAAAACCTGCTGATTCTTAAAAGCAAATGGCAACTAATGTGGCTTTCAACTTCATGTATTGCTATTTCAGAGACATACTGGAACTCAAAATGAGCTGGAACTCAAGTTGAAGCTTGTTTTTTACCAAATTTCAGATAGCAGTGGGGGTACATGAGCGGGTTTTGCCCCCCTGAAATACTGCTGGGGGAAGGCTGACATTCTCACACGATCTCAGGACATGGCTTGATTTAGTGTTCAAACACTCTACTCACGCCAACAAAACAAAAAAACAACCAAATTCCGCCAAACTACATGTAGATATTTCAACAGAAAACCCGCTGATTCTTAAAAGCAAATGATAACTAATGTGGCTTTCAACTTCACGTATTGCTATTTCAGAGACATGCTGGGACTCAAAACAGGCTGTTGAAGCTTGTTTTTTACCAAATTTCAGCTCTGCCCTTGCTGTCATGAGCGGGTTTTGCCCCCCTGAAGTATCGCTGGGGGAAGGCTGATATTCTCACACGATCTCAGGACACGGCTTGGATTTAGTGTTCAAACACTCTACTCACGGTAGGAACAAGGGAACATACAGTGTTTTGGGGAAAGGAAAATGCAGGCTCTAGAAAAAGAGCTAGGCGATCCAGGGTTGCACAATTAAAAAAAAATTCCAAAAAAACCAAAACCAAAACCAAAAAATAAAACCAAAAAACCCCAACCAAATTTCACCAAACTAGATGTAGATATTTCAACAGAAAACCTGCTGATTCTTAAAAGCAAATGGCAACTAATGTGGCTTTCAACTTCATGTATTGCTATTTCAGAGACATACTGGAACTCAAAATGAGCTGGAACTCAAGTTGAAGCTTGTTTTTTACCAAATTTCAGATAGCAGTGGGGGTACACACGGCTGGGGAGGAGCTGGGGTGATCTTTGACTGAGGCTACACTGCAACATAAGAAACTGGGCACCTTCTCACAAAAACCAGGATGGGGAGGAAGAAGCGGCTCTGCACTTCCAAGTCCAGAATCCTTTTACCCCTGATTTTTACTCGGTGTCTCTCTTCTGGATTTGCACTAAAAGGGGGCGGGAGCTCTGGCCCTTCTCTGAATTAAAGTCACTCCCCTTTGTTCTAATGTGGCACCCACAGGCGAGGTCATGGCAGAGATACATGAGAATAGTTTCACTGGTTGAGGGAAAATGAGTGACACACTCCTTTCCTTATAAACGGGCAAAAAAATTAATATATATATATTGGAGCAGAAAGGTTGGAGGTGGTGGATGAGAGGGGGGAACCAGCTGGGAAAGAGGAGCAGGAATTTGTGGAGAGGAGGAAATTGGAGGTATGTGGCAGAACGGCAGATAACCGTGGTTCCTCATGCATACAGCTCTTTTTGTTGTGCAGTAGGACTGGACTAACTTGCACCCTGACCTGTTAATAAAGCTGTGTTCACGTCATCAGTCAATCATACACTCCTAATGAATATGGGCAGAATTGGGACGGCCAAGAAATAATTGTAACAGAAAAGTGCAAGGGTAGAAAAAAGAAAGAATGGACAGGATAGGGTAGGAAAAACAATGGGGAAGACACATCACAGCTAGAAAGGAATGTAAACTATGTCAGAAGCTATGTTAGACCCTTTTGCTGACATGCAGACAGTCACAAAAGCATTTCCAGTAAACAATAGATACTTCATTCTCAGGCAGTATGAGTGAGGAGATTAGAAATAGTCTAAAAAATGTGAAACATTTCCTCCCCTCCTCCTTTTCCCTGCCCTCTTCTCCATTCCTGAACTCCAGCACAAACACGAATTCTAGATAGTTTTTATAGTCAAAACCAATTTGGTTTAACATAAACTGATGCACTAGAAATGGATTTAATATTTAGAAAATACCCTTGCAGAGGGTGTCCTCAGATGCCACTGAACCACAGAGAGGTTTACAAGCTCTTGGCACAGTGACATCACCTCTGTTGAATTGTTATTAACTTTATTTAGCAAGTATGTACATTTATTTGTGCTTGTGAGATCCATGGCAAAAGAAATAGCAGTTTGCTCTGGGCTTTAAAATCTTTAATTAGATTTCTGAGATAGATTTCTCTCCTTGCAACTAGGAGTGCTGACTGGAAAGTTGGGGGCAGGGGGAGAGAGGAGAAAGAAAGAATTTTGCCTGCACAGCAATTTAGAAAATGCTTAGCCAAGATCTGAAATAGAAATGAATTAAGTTAGTTTTTTCTTAGCTGAAGAAAGTAAACAAACATCATGTAACTGATTGCCCCAGCAACAGCAATTCCTTGAAGTTGATTTATTTTGGATTAATATCCCATGTCAACTGAATTTAAAAAAAAAAAAGCCCCAAGTCTTTTGAGAGTGAAATACTTTAGCAGTGTCATTTGAAGGAGGAAAACAACATAGCTGGGATTATCCCTAAAAGATTGCAACTTGTGATGCATGTTTGCTCATTAGATTTTTGAAAAAGAGAGTTAATTACAATGGAAGTGCCGATTGCAGGACGTGAAACACCATATAAAAACATTTGCTTTCACCCAGCGTCTGATGCAGTCAAGCAGATCAGGAAACCAACTTTTTTTTTTTTTTAATAAGATATATTTCTTATTCTTACCAGATGTGCTTGGCCTAACCACAAAAGCTTTCTCCATCAGGAGTTTCCCACAAGTGATATTTATATGGAAGTTGTGGTGATTCGTTCTTTCACTCTTTCTTTCCTTCCCAGTCCCCCTCTCTCTCTATTAGAATTTACGGATCCAGCCGGGTTTGTGCCCTGGAAACAGATGATTTTCAGCTGCAGGAAAACGGGTGTAAGTACGAACACTGATGTGTTCATTGAAATGCGAAACAGCATCTTCAATGCGCCCAGAAACGAAGTGTGTGAATCTCTAGGACGGCACAGAAAACGGATTGCCATTCACTCAGGGTTTGGTTTTCCCCCCGTTTTTGTTTCGGATCCCGTGGATGAAGGTGTTGTATCTAAGCGCCGGCTAGTCAGGAAGAGCAGGATTTTTTTCCTACACGTGTCCTATTCCCTCTGGCTGGATTTGCGTGATCCCGCCGAGGGAAAGGGACCGAAGTGCTCCCGGCCAGGAGGAGCCCGGGAGGAGCGAGAGGCCACAGTGCCACCGCGTGTCCCCTGGCTGGAACGGCACGGCACGGCACGGCACGGCACGGCACGGCACGGCACGGCCGGGCCTCGGAGAGCGCACGGGAAAGAGTTCACCGCGGCCTTTCAAACCCGAGAGCCGTATTTCATTGCCATTCTGTTTGCATCTTCTTCCAGTAGAATTTTTTTTTTTTTTCACTCTAGCATAATTTTTGGAAGGAGAGAAGCAGAAGATGATCTATTTGGTACTGTAGGATAATTTAAAGTAAATATTTTTTTTTCTGAGACACCTAGAGGAAAAGTGTTATTTTTACATTGGTAAAATGAGTGTGATAGCAGTTCTCCGGCTGTAAAAGATATTTCAATAAACGAAATAAGGGCTGTGATTGAGACTCTCATCCTGACCTAGACAGAGTTCAAGGGAGCAGCAAATTTCCTGAGGAAAGGAAAACCACAGTCACACACACATTATGAAAATTATTC